ACTGACAGAAAATAAATTATATATAACATTTAATGTTACTTACTTGCTTGGTGTTATGTCTTGTTATAATAAGTAATATTTGCGTATAATTAACTTATTCATTAATGTATATTTGAATGGTGACTATAAAATTATGTGTTTAATTATAGAAGTCATTGGTAGACTTATAAATAAATAATACAAATCGTGTTATGCATAATCTTTCAAAGGTATCAATTCTGTAAGTTTTCTGTTTCGCTCTTTATGATCTATGTGTATTACCTATAGTATGTATAATATGCTATGAATATATTTGATAGACATATATGTACATACAAGTTTTAAAATAACAAGTTACATACGTTAAAAAACAGAAGTTTCTGTATGGATATATATGGTTATTTCATCCTGTATGTGTTCGGATAAGTAAGAGCTTTTGTTTCAATTTGATCTACGTAATCAGAATAAACGGAGTATTGTCTCGACTAAGTCTTGGAAGCTTTAGTGACTTTACATTTTGTTTCTTATAAACCTCTAGAGAAAAGCGATTAGAGAAGTCTCATAAAATATCTGGTTATGTTCATATCTTTTTGGATTAATATTGAAATTAAGGACTGCTTTCTATATAACATAGTAATTACATATATATAGGTAATTCACAGTTTTGGTTACTTCAATTTATAGATACATTTTACAATTCTATTACGAATAACTGTTGTTAAGATACAAATTGGTTTTATCGTAACATAAACTAGTAATTGTTACCAGTTTTAATGTAACTACTAAAGATTAATATGTTGTGGTTTTTGTGTCAAAAATTGTATTTGGTCTGTAATTTTTATAGATCCAACATGCGCTATTACTCTTTAGTGAAACCAGCATTTAATATAAATAGAATATCCAACTGTACGTAAGTAGATACCGACTTTGCGAGTCAATATTAGTCCTGAATTAGGACCGTAACGTCTAATTTACTCGATAAATTCGAATATATTAAATAAAATTTTCTTGTAAAAAAAATTAGAGAATTTCAAAGCTTTCGTATATTATAAATTGCTATAGCCATATATATATATATATATATATATATATATATATATATATATATATATCTATAGCTGTGGGTACTACCAGTATGCCAGGTTTATGTTTTCACTCCACTTTATATAAGAAAATATTCATAGGATTATGGAAATACACATATATTGAAGTCCTTTGTGGGTCAAAATATATTTGTACATTTCCATAATCTTATAAATATTTTGCCAATAATAGAGGGTTTACACTACCAATTCTAAAATAAAATGTTTATGAGTATTGAAGTAAACATTATCAATTGCAAACAGAATTACCGATGTGGTTTTCACGTGACATAAGTATCCATAAAAACATCATTATAAAAGAACCTCTTTCATTTGGAAGTGGCTTGAAAAGTTTAAATTATTTAACTACAAAGAAATTACCTACCTACGTTAAAAGCTTCAAGCTTAAAGCACGTACTTTAATTACATTATAAGACGTGAATAAATGTTTATTGCACTACATTATTTATACAAAAATGTGCCGACTTTAAAATTTATCTTATGTACAGAAACTGTGTATTTACGATTTAGTTCGTACAGCTATGTAATAAGTAAATATTTCTATAATTAATCATATTTACCAACATGTAATAGCAAGACCAGCTAGACAAGATTTTATAAACGGATTTATCCACTAAACAAAATGTGATACATAATATATAAAAAGGATTTTTTCGATGCTCAAACCTTACTTATATTTTAAATCTATATCTCCCTTGAGCGGGCATACATAAGCCAGTATAGGCGTTTACACAAAAAGACATTCTTCTGTGCTCACAAACGGAACGCGGAAAATGAAAAGCAAAGGACTTACAAAAACGATAGGTTTTGTACCTACAGCTGGTGTAGAAATGTATTTCTGACTATAACTAATTTATTTATACTACACACCAGAAGTAATGCATATAAATATTAATAATTATTTAATTCAATAAAAAATCAAACTGCAGCTCGTTAAATTGAAGTTTTAATTTAACTAAATATCTTGATATATATGGAGTATCTTTATAGTCTCTGTATGTCTGGTCGTATGTATGAGCACGAGTTAAGAATGTGGATCAAGCACGAGATAAACTTTGGCAGTCATGTCTCCTCCTCTAATTACTCCGTGCTACTCAACGTGAGATACACATAAATAGAAATTGTATGTTTTTTATTCTGTTGTGCCACTATAACAAATTATAAACCACATGTATATTCTAACATGAACATCTACCTGTGTCTATTGATGTTTATCCGTTTTTAGACTTCCTTTACTTATGTACAAAACGTTCTACTTATCCCATCCATTACGTTATACATACGTTAATATTCTATGTCTTTATGATCACTGAGTTATGAAATGCGATACCTAAATATACGGCGACAGATTTCTACACAACAAATTATTTGGGAGTTTTCCTATCTAAAAAGTACTTTTCACATACGGCATACGTGTTGAGAGTGGTGCTTAATTTACGAAGTTGGAAGGGTGGTAGGAGGATCACAGTATAATGCGTCAGCCGTAATCTACCCCTAAAGTTAAACATAAACATGTCGCAAAATAAAGTACCTAGCGATACAGTACACCGTGACTCCCAACCTTGTTTTTATTTGTCATATTCTAACTTTTGCGTGCGATACAGCCTACCGTGTTTTTAATTAATTCCACGTAGCGAAGCATATTCATGTATTAAATGAAAAACTAAAGTTTTTCCATCATTGCTTCTCTTTTTCTGTTTTTCAAGTATCATCTATACTGAAGAACATTATTATATTAAAATCCTGCAATTGCTGTGGCAGTGGGTACTTATTTTCACAAGTCAATCATTTTGCTACTTTTGATGCGTAGGTGTTTTAAGTGAACATTATAAACTTCCAAAAATGTTTTCTGAAGTAGATATTGTTTAATAAATCAATTAGACCAATCTTTTTGGAATAGATAAAATTATCTTTGATAATTGTTATATTATTTTAGTGTTAAATTATTAGAAGTTGTGGAATGTCTGGAAATGTGGAGCTGGAGATGATTGCTTCGGAAACCTATGCCTGAATAGTGATCAAACATCTACTATTACTATTAATCTCGTCTCTCGTCTGGTAATTTACTACTACGACTACATAGTCAGTTAATTGAAAGATAGCTAAAAAATTTGAATGTAATTTATATTTCCCACTAGTTCTCCCATCTTTGTAAAGACCTGTAACAAACTTAATTAAGATGTAGCGCTAAGGCGCTACATCTTAATACTTACCCCTGCCTGTGCTCCGTAAATGTATCTGTTAGCATAAGTTTGAACAGTAACAATTAATTTCTAACTTTAAATTGATGTTTCGTGAATATAACAATATATGAAACATTAGGTGATTGTGTACGGAATTAGACTAGTTACTAGGTAAATGTTGTTACAAGTTATAATTGAAAACCATACCTACCTTCTAAATTTGAATCAACGTTAAGTCTTTATTAAAGTTAGTGTGTTCCAATGTCATATATATTGAATTTCAAATCCTAACAACTTGATTGTTACCAAAACTGATACACTAAAGCTATAGTTTCAAAGAAATAATACCAAAACCAGTGCAGAATTGAGGAAGATGAAACTACTAAACACAATACGATACGTCGAGATACATACATTGGTAAAACACGATACAAGTGCAAATTTTTTTCTTCAAATCGATTGTAACTAACAGCACATTTAAAATAATACTTGAAGTACTAAAATGGAAACGTAAGGTAAAATGTAGACTTTTCAATATATCTTGCTTGAAAATTCGTCTCACAATGTAAAGTTACAAAATTAGATAGAACTTCGTTATCTACATTGTTTAGAAGTCCATACGAAATTGGATGTGTAGTACCAAATTAGATTTGAAAGAAACTTTTTGTATTTGTTTCACGAACAAATTGACAGTGTCTACGTGTACGTGCTTCATAGGATTGGTGGAGACTGTCCGTATCTTTCTTTTTCCTTATTGTACCTACCTATATTTAGAAGTTATGTAAGCAGAGTTGATACTTAATACCGAGCTATTAAGGAAAGCCTCGGCTCTGTGCGTTGTACGCACGGTCCAAATGGTAGCGTGCAAAATAGAGTCCAATATAAATTGTATTTTGTACACCGACTGTGACATGCTCAAACCTTTCTTTTCTACTGTGACGGATATGATATGATAACAAATTATTTTATCAAGTTGTGTTAATTTGTTATTTAAATACTGTTATCTATTTCTTTCATAAACCTCTATTTTACATAGGGTTATTTTATCTTGCGGAAGTATCGCAATGACTACATTTTCTATATATGAATTATATAGGTCTGAATTTTTAAAAACATGACGCAAAATTCTTTTTTATCAATGATTACTTAAAATGACCTTGTAATAAACATTAAATATAGAACTTTTTATGTATAAAATTTCCACTCGAAATCCTATTTTTCACAGTTTAATGATAATCTTATAACATTATTCTTGTTCCCATAATTTGAATAACTTTTCTAAAAGTGTGTTGTTTTGACAGATAACTCAAACCAAATTTTAATTAAACTAAATAAAAGAAAATTTGAAGTTCCGAACATATTCACATCAAAAGTTTTATGACTACTTATTATATTGAAAAGTTTCGATGCGGAATTTCGCATCCTGGTTTCCTCGCAATATAAATATATAATATTACAGTATGAGAAAAATGTTTTCATAAATATGAGTTTTTTATGTAACTGTATTAACAATTGTTGGGCAGTAGCAACCGTCGCCTATATACCTACATGAATAGGAAATCATGATATCGCTTAATATCCATGATACAAATGTAAAATGTCATATTTTAAATTATGTCTCGGTAGACTTAATAATTAATGTATGTAAGTAATTGCAACCTCTATCTTCATTTATATCTGTGAAATCCTCTACTGCAGTAAATACTTATTTGTTCTATCATTTCTTCCATTACAGGCAATCCCCGTAACAAATGTGCCCTCCAGCCCGGCCACAGTCTTATGGACTGGATCCGACTTGGCAACTCAGGCAAAGACCTCACTGGCGTCGGCGGACGTGTACGGCCCGTTTCACTGGCAGAACTCGCCACCCACAATACACAAAGTTAGTAGTTCATATTACAACTGAAACGTTTTTTTATATCAATTAAATTAGAACCAAGCTGTCACAAACATCACAACCGTAATACCACTCCAGAAGACTATGATGTCATGCAACTTAACCTAACTGGTTGTATCTATGTAGGTACCTGTATTACAACTAAATTTCACATTAAGAGCTTATATATGCTTTGATGATGATTCAGTAGCATCATAATATTTTTACTTTTGGCACTATATAAATAAATATATTTTGCTTTACGAGAAAACCTGCATTAAATGGAGATAAATTAATACATCGCATATAGAAATATAATCAAATATAGACAGAAAGCAGCAGAGCTAATCATGAAAATATATTCAGAATTGCTGATATTATCGCGTAACATAGTCACAAAAAAAACAATTAATAATAAATTTCTTCGAAGTTGGTTCAAATCAGAAGCCAACACTTTAATACGAGTATATTCATATATTCACTATGTACACTTGTATTGTATCTTGTTAGAATTTAATTATAATTGATTATAATATTAAATTTTATATCAAATACAGTTAACTATAGGTTCACTGTCTTGTTTGTTACATTTTACAAATGTATTGAACATTTAGGTATATAAGAAATCTGACATACATCGCCTATGATTGATGTTATATGTTATTGATATTATATTAGGCTGTGTTAATTGCATTAATATTATATAGGTACACATACTAAATTTATTTTTCACATACATCACGTTAGGTATATATTTTTTTTACTGAAACACACTTATGCTAAGTCATTTTTATAAAATATATGCTTCAAAAAAATACTGCAAACTAAAATGTTGCGAAATATTGTTTTACTATATCCCTATTATAGATAATCCCTAATATATAGGACAGTTTATATAATGGAAAAATTTACATTTTAATTTCTTAATAACTGTTCAATAATGTTTATCATATTTCAGTTTGTACAAACATTTCACGACGGTATTAAATACTGCGAATCAAACTATTACCCTACTAAGCTAATGTTGTTATTTCTAAAAAAAGGTAAATATGTTGTTTACTATGACAAAGTAAAGAACTTCAAATATAGTCGTTCTATATCTGGGTGCACGTCCTATCAATATTTTATGTCTAATATATTAATTATCTTATTTTCAGATGATGCATGGTTAGCTATACGAGGGCGCGTTTATAACATTACACATTACCTACCTTACCATCCTGGAGGTAATGACCATCAGTTTTTACTCCTATATAATTTAAATCTTCTTATTCCACTTTTAAATCTTGTTATTCCACTCCACATATGTACGGCACAATCTGTTAAACTTTAATAAAAGATTATTTTGTTTATTCATAAAATGTATGTTATATTCATGATGAATCAATGCAAGCAATGGCCAATCCAATCCAATAATCGGTTTTACACCTGAGCGACATGTGACCACAAGATATACAGCATACTGCTAACAAATGTCATAATATAACGACGAAAATGTATGAAATAATATACCTATCATAATATGTAGATGAAATTAAAGCACTAATTAAAAAATTGCAAAACACAGATTCTTTAGTAGATTTTTTCAATATACTGATTGTTTGACTTGCAGGACCAGAGGAACTGATGCGCGGTGCTGGAATAGATGCTACTCAACTCTTCGACAAAGTTCATCCATGGGTGAATTACGAGTCTTTGCTGGCGAAGTGCCTTGTAGGACCACTTAAGTTCGATCTTCCGAGTGCTGAAGAGCTATTCGAAAATTCTAGTTCTTCGCCAAAATCCGACCGTCTTCGAGAACCTTCTAAAGCACAAGAACTAGTGAGAAAATCAATGGAAAATCTAGCAAATTGTATTACACCGGTAAGAAAGAAAATAACATCTAAAAGCGAGGAAAATGTAAAGGGAAGTCCGCCGAGTAAAATTATGCAAAGCTTAATCCAGTCGAGTGATTTGCCTGTTTCGATAAGCCGGAGAGCTGCGTCCAGTCCGATTAAAACGACGGATAAGCCTGAAGTGCCGGTCCTTCGCTATGATTGGATTCAAACGTCGACTAAATTAACGATATCGGTGTACACCGGGCCATTAGCCAACCCCGGGGGATGTGCGAGCATAAATGAAGGGGTTTTATTAGTTGAAGTAGCTAATAATGGTTGGCTCAGGACACTGAAATTAATACCCGAAGCCAAACTACAAGAATCACTGCAGTTAAAAGTATACGCCGAAAGTGGAAAAATAGAGGTATATATATATATGTACTACAAATAACAACAAATTTATATTTATTAATTTACGTATTTTATGAAAAAGTATTTTAGTGATGTATCTACTATTTTTACGTTTGTTATTCTGCCTCTATTATTATCTATATATATATATATATATATATATATATATATTTCTATGCTATTCATGCGTCACCTACCATTTTTGTTGTTTTTCTCTCTACCTAAAGGTCGTCTGGAAGAGATTGCTTGCTTGCAATAAGACCGCTTTTTGTACATCTATATCTTTTGTCTGTATAATTTTTGTATAAAATGTTTGGTGCAATATAGAGTTTATAAATATAAATAAATAAATATTTCCACATTTACATTTACAATAAATCTGGAACTTGCTTATTAAATATCTTCGTATATACTAAATAACTATTTTTATTAATAGATTATTGTACAAAAAGTGGAGACATGCGTATGGAAAAGCTGCGGTGAAATAAGTGTCAGCTCGGCCACGCGAGTGTCGTCACCACGGACGTTGGAGTGTAGCGTTGTACACGTGGGACGAGTGTCCCACGATACCAAGCTGCTGGCGCTGCAACCACGCACCGGATCTGTGGTGGTGCCGCTGGGTCACCACATTCGAGTTCACAAACAAATATCTGGTGAGTTGTAATATATTCTGCTACACTAATCACATTTTGTAATAGAAATAATCTTTATTCAGATAAACTTAATTTTTGAATTTTTTTATTCTACCACTCATTTGAAACACATCACAAGAATGAGCATGAAACTTCCATGTTGCTCTTTTAGATAAATATTGTTAAATAAAAACACATTAACAAGGATTAGGCATGCGACAATCAACATAGAAACCGCTACGCACTCACTCTTTATGCAATCCTATAATATTGTATTGTATTGTATAGTGTAGAAGTAATAATTTTTAGGATTTATTTTTCCATTCTTCTTGATTACTCATGACTCTTATTCAATGGTTGTGACATCTAACACAGGTCATCCACTATGTCATAACTACAGCAAATTTTATATTCTGTTTAACTGATATTTATAAAACAACAATGGAGACTTTTCTATATTAATATTAGATGACCTCAGTTTACCACATTTTTGGTAAAACAATTGCTAATAAAAATATTCCAGGTACAGAGTGTGTACGTTCATACACACCCGTCGGCGAAGGTTGGGGTTCACAGAACTGTTGTGAGACAGTCGCGCCTCTCAAGCTTGCTGTCAAAAAGTATGAGGACGGCACTCTCTCTCCGTATCTAACGTCACTGAAAGTCGGTGATTCGGTCATACTGTCTGGACCTTATGGCAATTTCCAATTACAAAAAGTAAGTTTCATGACATATTTAAATTTTGTTTAAAATAGATTTTTATACGTTACTGTAACGTCCGCCAACTTCCTTCATTCTTCACTCATGGTACCCCTCGTGCCTTTTTTATGGATTGGAATGGCAATCAAGCAGAACCACCACTGGTAAGCGGTAACATGAACAGCACTATGACATCACGTCATTATCCGACACTCGTGGTACCTTTGCCATTTTAAATGGGTAATATATCATGCTTCTAATCCTGTAACTTCATTGCCTAATCTAGACCCTACGAACGGAAACACAACTAATTTTTAGTTTTCCTCTAGCAACCATTCTGCTACCTTTGGTTGCAATTTCTGCAAAGGTGCAATTCCTTTGTGCCTTGTAAATGTTCTTTTAATTTTCTTTAACTACTAAGAGTCGCGATTCGTAACTCGAATACTTACGTATACGTATAGCTAAATTCGGAAGGTATATTGTAATATATTCGGAAGGGATATTTATATATATATATATATATATATTACAATATACCTTCCGAATTTAGCTAACACCTTATGTGGTCATTTCATTTCAGGTGAAGTTCGTAAAAATTGTTTACCTAATAGCAGCCGGTACGGGAGTCACTCCTATGCTGGGATTACTCAAATTTATGCTTTCAAAATCGAATCCCAGATGGTAAGTGTTTTAATTACCATTCAATTAAATTTTTCATATTCATAATATCGTAAATACTTATATAACATCATATTCTACCATTACCTTTACAGCGACAGAGTCCACTTGTTATTCTTCAATAAAACTGAAAATGACGTCTTATTTAAAGAAAATTTTGATGGTATATCCAAAGAAGACAAAAGGTAAGATATGTGATATCTTAATATGTATTTAGTACTACATATATTATGCTGGTATACTTTATTTTTTTTGTCTAGAATAATATCTTATATTAATAAACCTATACATATGACATAACATGAACTACCAAAGGCATACTATGTGCGAAGTAGTCTACATGCGTATATTTGTCACGTCATCACGCATCAGTTAACCGCAAAGCAGCTTTACAAAGAAGTAAACGATTTCAATTGGACGACAATATATGGCAGTGGAAATATAAAGCTTGGAGCCATAATACCTTAGAACTTCAACTGGGAATGCATGCAGGGTACTTCATGTATATGGGTGATATACCACAAATGTGTAATTAGATTGTTTGCCATTGTATTTAGTTATTTATATTAAAAAATGTAGTCACAATCTAAGCAGAGCTTCTATTTATAAATAATGATATCTTTCGTGTGATAATATAAGTAGACAAAACTGATAAAATAATAGATTTATTAAGAGTGTGTAGTAAATAACTAATTAGAATATGGCCTCTGTGGCGCGGAAGTGATAAATTTAATTACATAGTATTCTTATACAATCCCACTACATATATACAATTAAGTAGTACTGATATTCAATAAATAGTGTAAATTTTAAGAAAGCTGTATAAAAGATTACAAATACACATCATTATCTTTTTTTTAAGCTCCATCTCTGAAATTTTCTTACTGTTATTTCAGATTAACTGTTGAACATATTCTATCTGAGAGCACTTCGTCGTGGGCTGGCCGCAAAGGTCGTATAAGCAGCCAACTACTTACAGAATTACTACCAAAAGATATACCAGTATGTGAGACACAGTGCTCTCATTTTGCTTGTATATGTGGACCCACAGAATTCACTCACGCCGGCCTACAAATATTGAAGAATCTAGGCATGAAAGAAGATTGTATACATGCTTTTATAGGATAGAATTTCTTAAAAAATTATATTCCATGTTTTTTAATACAATATTCCGTGTTTTTTAATACAAGAAAAATAATTCTCGATACAAGTGTAGTTACATAAGTATACCTTTTTTAATATACAACCAAGTAGTATAAATCAGTCAAAATGAATGCATAGTAATAAAATAATTTTATACTAATACTTACGGGTGTTTTTGAAATAATAATATAAGTAGTTAATGTGTCTATGATAATGTCCATAAAAATAATGACACCCGACATTTATGTCGCATAGCTTGGTTCTTTTGTAAAATGCTGCATTTACCTACAACATATCTCCTGTCCCATAACAATGGGGATAAAAATTACAGTGTACCGAGGTTGAACCCCTAGGGTGCCATCCGTCAGGCAGAAATTGTCCTTCATTCGCTCCATTAGTCCTTCCAAGGGTTTAAGAGTGCCTTATAACACTCTAGCCCCCATTTTCATCCCATGAACAGTGCCAATAGCATTGAAGTAGTAGAAGCTACAACTATAACTAACATAACCCAAATGTTCGAATTCGAACTTTTCGCTCGCTACCTTCTATTACAAATGTACTTAAATAAGGTCACTAGTTACGGCTACCCTATTATAATTGAATATTGAACCATGTTATAATTTCTTTTGCAAAAACCAGCCACTGAAACAGTCAACATACTGCAATAAATATTTCAATATTCAATAGAATACCAGGGGGTATAATACCCCCATATATAATTTGATATCACTAAGCTTACTCCTAACTGTGAACATGCTCTGGTAAGAGCAAGGTTTTCTTCAATATAATAGGTAGTATTCTCCTAGCTGTTAGTGAAATCATCATTGTACGTAATAATTAATGTTAATAGAATATCGTAACAACTCTTGACATAAAAATGTATATGTTGAGTTGAGTGTAGCTAATATGTCGATTCGAAAATTCCTGTTAAATTAGTTTATAGTATCTGTATTGATGTCCCAAGAGTGAGATAATTATTTACGCTGTATTAGGTGTATATTTACTAGTATTACTAAGATGTAGGTACCTATTAAAAATATTTCTTACATAGGTATTATAAGAATTTGGCCAAACATTATAAGCACCAATAAGACAAAGTAAGAAATTAAATTTCTATAATTATTGTATGTACTAATTTCAATTAGATTTAAATAAAAGTGTGATAAAATATTTTTTATGAATAGATTATTGTAAAATAATATTTTTATGATTGTGATTCGAAATCATAATAAAGACATAATTATTGATCAAATTACTTTTAATGTTCTGACGTTTTGAATACAAAAAGATAGGAAGTTAATTCCACCCATATGTGTAAATAAATGCATAACCATCTTGTATTAACTTTATTGAGCCCCATATACGAATTATTTTAAATATATAATTTTGTTTCAGATTAGTAATAATAATATAAAAACAATGGAAAATTTCCTACTTATTTTTTTTATAATTCTTTCATGTGTCTGTAAGTGAGGCTTTTTGTTAGTCATGTATTATTTAAAATGTAACGTGTTTGTTTTATTTGTTGTTTTCGATGTCAAACAAACACAGGTACGTTTGCTTATAAATAAATTTGATTAAGCCACGTACTATTATATTGATTGTTTTTTCAAGAGTCATTTTAAATAATACGGAATAATGATGTATTTTGGTACAATGCCATTTCTTTATATGTATGTATATTCAATTTCTGTATTAAATTACCGGACGGCACGGTTATATAACATATCAAATTAATTATTTTTCAATATGTTATTAAGATAATTTCTGATTTTAGTTTAATAGAAATTTAGTACAGATTTTTACAATTTAGTTTAAGGATATTGTAATTAAATATCCGTTAAAGTCCAACTAAATTAATTGATAATGAATATGACACCATACACTTAAATATAATTTTACATTTTGTTTATTGATTTTGTTAATATATTGTAAATGATATTTAATAAAAAGTGCCTACATTCCAGGTGAAGTTTTGTTATAGCTTTTTGGTGTTGTTGTTTTATGAATTTTAAATAAATTACTAAATATTATATTTTATTTTATTATAACTAGAGCCAATGCGTATTAACTATTTATTATTGACAGCCTAGGTGGTGTAGAAGTTCAGCACACCGCCTTACTTTCAATAGTCGCCGATTCAATTCCTTGCATGGTACAAGCATTTATGAATTATGAATACAATTGTATCGGTCTGGATGTTTTCTATACATAAGATACATTTTATTGTAAATATTTTATAATATAATAAAATATTTTCAAAAAAATCTATCTTATGTATCTTATGTATTTATATCAGTTGTCTAGTACTCATAACACAAGCTCTGCTTAGTTTAGTACTAGATGGAGCTGTGTGATTTGTCTAGAGATATTATTATTATTATTCATTATTATAATCGTCAAAAAATTGTTCAATTCTAATCATATCGTCCCTGAGGAGCGCTAGATGGCTTGGGAGCGCTATCGGGCTCCTAGGCACTCTTAACTGTTAATATCCAGTTAATGGGAATTCTACTGTCATAAAAACAAAGGTAAACAGAAAAAAAAAACAAAAAATAAAGAAGGAACGTTATTATTATACAACAAAACATAATATACATTTCAAACGACTCCGGAGTATAAATGCTTGATCTATCCACGCATGTACTCATTTATATCTAATGTATACAAAAATACGATTTGACCACATGAGGAAATATTTATACTTAATATGGTTTTTTAGTCAATAGTTTATAATTATGTTATAGATTAATTCTGCCAAAATATTTTACACGAACACTTCCGATAAATGATTAAAACGTATTTTTAAATATACATTCTTCCATTTTACATCTGTGAATTTACCAACTCCAATTATAAGCAAACAAACCTAAACTATATCAAATAATATTATGTCAACAATAGAGGTTGATTCCGATCTGTCTCCATTGCATAACAGTTCAGAATTCACCAAATATTTTGATTCATTTATACAATGCTTAAACTTATCGATCACAACTTACTAAGTAATAATAAGTATAGTATGGAAAATATAGCTAAACCATACTTGTCTTTCTTCTTGCAACAGTTTAGGCCGCTGATGTACAGTTTAGGCCAGTCATTAGATTAGATGATTTGGTGAGATTTTGATTTGGCCCTTCGGAGATGCGCCAACTGAGTTTATCGGAACGTTAAACGCATTGACGTAACCTAAGGACTGAACGACTGTGTATCAGCGGACTTTTCCTATATCACGGGTGTTACACCAATATTCATCGTGAAAAGAGGATGGGAATAAAGAAACTTCCATATCTTTTATATATATGCATCTATAGTACTCAGAACCCAATTGTAAGTGTAATTACATATATCTATATCAATACACAATTTTGTAATATCAAGAACTAAATTCTTAACAAAATTATTTACTGTAGTATGCAAACTTGTACATTCTTAATAAAATAATTTTAGTTATTAATACTCAACTACCGAAAGCAGATGAAATGGTGCTACTAAAAATTTTTGTCGGCCTTTTTGTAGAATACGTGTATTTTCTTTCTATTTTTGCCACTACCATAATAATACCATTCTCCTCTCCACTATACCAAGTCTATTTCACTTTTCTTGAACTTGAAAATGTAAGTTTAATAAAACCATCTGATTACAATTTGAGCAAATTCTAGACAACTGTGTATGACGTATCTGTATTCGCTTAATTATCGAGTAATTTAATTGTAGGTGGTTTTAAAAATCTATGTGTCAAAAATTATAAAAATGAAACTAAATCTCCTTGTACGTCAAAAACAACAAAGAGTAATCAATTATAAATTGTTATTTATGAAATAAAGGCCAATAGAAAAAACAATATATTGTTTATACAATATATAACAATATATATAACAATATATTGTCTTTTCTAAATCAATATAACAGAGGTTTTAAGGCAAAAAACATAAGGCAAGCCAGCAAAAACAGTTGAATATTTCTATTACATTTAGTTTGCACACATTATTTTTTGCCTTTATATTGAAAACTTTATTTTCATCAATTCAAAAAATATAGAAGATATACTCTAACGCGCCGTTCTGTTATTATGTCGCAGATTATATTTCTATTACAATTATTAATTACATAGTACAACCACACATACCTATTTGATTATTATATTGTCACCTGTTTTTCTGTGAAATATAAACTTGAGTTTTCCCTACTCTCAGTATTTATTATAATATTATTCAAAATGTGTATGTAATATATAGGACTATTTAGGACTGAGGACATGCAGCTCTAACTTAATTAACGCATTAATGGCGTCAATCACTTGAACGAAAATATGTCGTCTAGAAAATGGAGCAAACTTTCATTATATTATCATATATTTTCGAATTCTTTTAATTTTCAATGGAGGCCGACAGAGTGTCAGTGAAAAGTGAATAGATCTAATTCATTAATATCAATAAACTTGTTTGAAAAGAGCAAAGGATGAACTAAATTGCCATGTGCTTATACATGGTCTAAAATGACTGATTTAGATTAAATGTTGATTTTACACTACGTCATAATTGCGTAATTAATGAATAATAAAAAACAGCTTTTAAAGAGTGCTCATTATGCCCCGCGACAGATTTAGTGCTTTTCACTGTCATTCTATCAGTTTAACCCGACCCAAAACATTTATTATTGTTGTCACTTGTCAATCTTTAACGAAAATATATAGACCCAATTTAATTACAAAATTATATTATTAAACTTTCCGCCATATAATAGAAAACAGAACTGAGAAAGATTTGAGGAATATATGCATCTGTACAATTTCATATAACTCCAGTGCTGTATCATATAACTATATGACCAATCTTATATATCGTAAAGTAATATTAATTTTTAGAACAAAATATACTGCTGCTATACTGTATAAAATGCATAAATTTCTTGGGTTTAAAATAAAATAGCAATATCCTTAAGAGACATCCGCGGCCCAGATAATTTGTATTTGGTTACAGCAGTTCTTAAATTGAAAATTTAGAATGTATATTACAAAAAATATATGTAATTCATTTTAGTTAGTATATAGATATTTAATTCAACAGCACAATTGAGAGCCGTATATTTTCATTACTATCTCAGGGTTCACTTACACGTTCACTCAATCACGGTTTGTCAATCTCCACCCAATCATTTCACATAATATCTTGTCCACATTAAACTATCAATGTTAAGGGAAGATTTATGCGTTCACATCGTTGACGAAGAGAACATCGCGATCCTTGAGTCCAGCGTCAACTAGGTTAGCATCACCGCATTCCAGCACGCGTTTTGGAAAATTTGTCGTTATCTCAAACTCCTCGGGAGATTGTGGATGACTGAACACGAAGTCGTACAGATCCTAAAAAATATGTTTCATATGAATATTAAATTTATAGATACACAATTAAAACTACTACAGGGGTGTCTGTATGTGTGACGCTGTTTCTCATATTTCGAAAACTTGTGTTGGAAGTTTTGTTCTGGTTTGAAAATTGTGATATAATTAAAATAACCCAGGACAATTTACACAGCGTCATCTGCTCCCAATCTAAGCAGAACTTGTGCTATATACAAGTTACGACGAATTGATAAAAGTGCATTAATTTTTGTAAGTACATACATAATATATGTAGTAACAACACCCAAACTAGTACAAATAATCCTACACATAAATACAAACATTTGTACTGTGCGAGGTATCCAACCCGCGACCATCCGAAGTAAGGCGGTATGTGAACCGCTGACCACTGAAGTCGTCAAATATATTTTATATGGTGGAGAAATTAGACGTTAATGTGGACATTGGACATAAAAAGTATAGCAGCCTATATGTGTCACGTAGGAATGAAGAATGAAGATAATATTATACGGAAGTGTTACACATGAATGTGGATTGTTAAAAGGGCTGAGTGAGCCAAAAGAGACGTATGGCTGCGTGAAAGATGATATGGCAAAAAAAAGGAATAAATGACTGCGAACAGGAATTAATGGAAGAGAAAAATTATTACGTCCGTATTACCGTAAATGAATGTGAGAAGAGGATGAGTGTCACAGTTGTGTGATGGTGTAGTTTGAGGGCGGCGAGGGAGCGTTACCTGGGTGGTGTGTGCGAGCGTGAACCGCCTGGTGAGCCGCTCGCCGCCGGGCAGCCGGATGAGCAACACCACCGTCCCCGCGCCGGCGGCCGGCTCCGCGGGCAGCCGCGCCGCCATCGCAGCCCGCGCTTCGATCATCTATCCACGCCATTCATCATGTGCAAGAATAGAAATTAATGAAATAAACTAAGTATTTAACTTTTGAATAGATATAATTTTTTTTTATTCTACCCCTCATACGGAACGCAGGTCCTTAACAAGAATCAGCAAGTATTGCTCTTTTAAATAAATGTTGATCTAAGTAAATACACATTAACAAAGATTAGATATGCGACAATTAAATAGAAAACGCTACACACTCACTGTTTACATTTATACAATATTATTTGTCTATACTATTACTGAATGTCAAATTAATTATGGTTCAGGCACAAAAAGATCATTATTCCAGTATTTGTTTTCGGAATATTTACAGCTATTATCGTTATAAGCCGATTACAAATGGTCACTGATACAAAATATTTATTATTAAAAATAAAAATTATTTTTACAAGATACCTACGCTAGTTTCGTGATCATTAACATAAGTTCCTGATCTAACTTACAATGTCAAAGTCAATATAAAATGTATAAAGTCAATTAAAAATATATTTCTCAAGGTACGCGAATTTCTAGTTTTCCCAAAAAAACATGTCATAAAACATATAATTGCAAAATGACTACAACATATAGGGACATATTGCTGGAACATGCATTGTTTTAAACTTCTTTCAGGATTGTTTACTATTGTACACATGATGTATACGGGATAAATTGCTATAAGGAATCGATATTATAACTGGGACATAAGTTGAAATATAATTAAGATATTCAGTGGATATACAGTCAGAAGTAAGACATAACTGTTACATAACAACAACAATTTAAATGTCCTTTTTATTCCACAACCAATATGCCTAACAATATTACACGAGATCAATAATAATATAATTTCGGTGAAATAACACATACACGTAATTAGAACAAGTCATTTAAAACATTCAGCATACCAAAGAAACAAACAAAGCACATACCTCCTCCCTGCGGCGCTCCTCCCACAATCTGCGGCGCAGGTCCTCGTTCTCGCGCTCGACGCGCGCGGCACGGTCGGCGGCTCGGCGGCGCTCCTTCTCCTGGTCGGCCGCCAGCGACTCCGCGTAGGCCTCGTCCTGCGCCGCGCGCAGCTGCGCGGTCACTTCCCGCTCCACACTGGAAATTCATTACTCCGTAAGCACCAGTCATTTTGTTACTCGATCAAATATATCTGAACATATATTGTAAAGAAAAAATATTACAACTCTGTATTCTCATTTGCCTGATTATCATTGCCCTTTAATATTTTGCTATGGTGATGAGGATCACACTAAGCGGTAATATCACAAACTTGGAGATAAAAACAAATATTAAAGTCCTGAACTCCTTTAAAATGGAGTTAGGAGCACAGGACATATTTTAACATATAAAATGTACAGATGGAGCACACAAGTGAAGTGTGCTAAAGAACTCTATGGTAGGTAATATGACATCCACCTAACCCTAGAGACACTGTAATAGACCTGCAGAAGATAAAGCACAATGGTGGAGGATGCAATAGAATAAAAAAAATTTAATTTGCATAAAGTGATTTTTATAAATCTGTTCCTTATAATTAATGCAGCACATTAAAAGTAAATAAAGGCAGTCCTGAAAGTTTAAAGAACACTAGAAATTATATATTCACCGATCAGCTCTAGCAGCTGCAAGGTGTGGCTCATTGTCATTGACAACATGACGCAATCGCTGTAATAGCTGCGCTGAAGAACATGAACCTTCATTTCTCGCAACAACTGTCATTCGATGCTCACGAACACACACCACACACAGCAAAGGGTATCGGCGCCCGCCTACTGACTGTGCCACCCGCCAACCCTCTGCAGTGTCTACTGAACACCCCCAAAACAGGGCATGGGTGTTTATGTACTGAATGACTTCTGGATCTGCTAAAGTTGATCTGTAAATGTAAATTACATACATTTCATTATACAATCTTCTCATAATCATAGCAAGCTAGAAACCAATAAGACCCTTTGAAAATGTGACTAATTTCCTCCAAAAATAATGAGGTATTACCTTTTCAATATGATTATGAATTTTATAATCAAGAAGTTTTTACTTTAATTCACTTTTACCCCATACAAGATTTAGCTTAGTAAGTACCATCTTAACTTTACATTTTCATGAATAAGTCTACTTAAGTGTATGGATGGATATAAGTGATGTAAATTAATTGTATTCCCTGTAAGCTACTTCCAATCGGAACCAACCTGCAGAAATTTTGTGTTTCTGTGGCAGAGTCTGAATGAAGATATACAATGAGGAATCTCAACTCATTCTTGGCATCATTGAGAGCTTGTGCATATGTGCCCTGGTAGAACACTGGATGGGGGTTGTAGCGGGATGTGTAGCTACTGATAAAACCCATCACATCTCCTAATGGATCTGTCACTACTGTAAATTATAAAATACTTTGTTATAATGAAAATGGAAAGACATAAATTCCTTTGTATTGAACAATTGCACTATCAGTTCCTTTGTAAGATATTATGTTATAGGCAACTGTAAATTCAAATGTCTTAGACTTTTAGTTCTATCAGTTATACTTCTACATTGGTTATAAGTCAGTAAAGATTTCTAGGACAGAATTATTGTTAAATATATATAACAACAGTTTTACACTAAAAAGAAAATTCAGAGATCTGGGATATTCAAAATTTGTATAACAAGACAAATAATATTAGTTTGTTTGGAAAGTAATTTAGTTTTTTCCTGGCAGAGGATTTAATTGCATTTTTTGCACCCAGTTCACACTATCGCATCTTTATCAGATTCAACTGGGCTTCCCGAGCATGGTGAATCTTGAACATTGATATACTGTTAACACACTTTCACCATACACATCGGTCAATTTATTTCTGACTTGAACAGCATTTTTGCTCTTTCTGTAGTAAAACAGTAAGATATGTGGAAAATACTGCTTATCACTCTCCATATTTAAAAGGGCACCAACCAAAAACTACTGCATAGAATTAATTTGAATTTTTCTCACACAAGCCTTTCTATATGAGCTCTCAAACCATATAAAAATTATACGGCTTAAGTGTTAGGTAAGGTGCAAAAATACAATTAAATCCTCTGTCATGAAAAAATGGAATTACTTTCCGAACAACCTAATATATTGTACATTAATATTGCGCTCTTAGTACAACATATCCATTAAACTTCATGTTATATGAAGTATATCATATATATGTGGGTTAAGCCTCCATGCATATAACACATATAAATAACAAACTACTAATAGTCTCATGAGATGTTTTGTTTGTTCAATCTAGAGAAAAAATCATGATTTCAACATATAACTTTAAGGACAACATATGTGTTATGAGCAGAGAATGCAGTCAATTTATATTTTAAATTTTAAAGTAATAAATGTAATAATATTAAGTGGTCCTCCATAAATAATGAAACATAAACTTACATCTTCTATCATCATTTCTAACAAAACTTAAAAGCAGATTTAATACAGATGATATTGTATTGTAGCACATTGATACAACTAAATTGACAACATAACGCAATAGTCCACGCATGCCGCCAGGTCCCTCTGGGGGTTCATCTGTAAAAATCTGCTGGGCTATATGATCATGAACCACAGGAGGAGCCCTGGCTTCTGTAGCAAACACTGATGGCCGTCCCTCCCTAATATTTAATTGCTCCTGTATCGCAACCTATAAAGTAATGTTAACATTTAAGGACAATATAAATATTTTTGCTCAATCACTGCAATGTATGGAAAGGTATCATTATCAATGCCTTCAAGTGTACTTATGTATAGAGCATCTTATGAATATTAAAACACTTACTTCTAGATCCCACTGATGTCTTTGTAATACATCTCTACATATCGACATGTCTTCTATACCAGTTAAATCTTGAAATTGCAGAATTTTATCTGTTTGTTCTTGGGTTAAGCCCAATGCATTATCTTCAAGATCCATTATTCGATAGATTCTATTATACTACAAATAAACGAGAAAACCCGCTATGAAAAATTGCGTAATTTAAATAAACCTACATTAATAATAATATATCAACATATTAAACAAAACAGTAATGCTAAACAACAGCAAAAATTAAAATATTTTGCTCGGATATCTAATCACGAAAAGTATGACATGACATGTTGAAGCTCTATGCCATAGACTAAAAGAAAGTAATTATAGAGGAAAAGGACATGTCATCCGGTTCGGATTAGAGCGTTAGGTTACTAGATGGCGCAATTTCATTACTATGTATAGAAAACCAAACTAAAATTAACTATTACTGGCGTCTTCGTCGGTTTTTTAGGTAACAAACAAATTTCAAGACCATCAAGACAAATTTCGCTGTAATTGCGGCGAATTTACTAACTTCACGGCAATAACGTTGCTTCGTTACGACGCGACGCGAACATGAAAAACAGCAGCCTTGTTATACTTTTCACCTACATGTCTATAATATATATACATAGTGTATATAAATAGCTACAACAGATTTCATCTTTTCACCTCCCTTCACCTGCCGCTGCCAGTACGCTAAGGTCTATTATTTGAAGAAAAAAAAACAACTCGTTTTTCAACCCACCGTCAGAACCGAAGCTGCCATTTACTAGACTTTATAATAAATTCAACTTTCTTAATAATCTTAGAAATTTATGACTGGGAGTAATTCATTACGAAAGAAGCCTCTGCTTATATCTGTATTCTTGTACATAGTTTCTAGAGTTCAGATATTAGCAATTTTGTGTAAGGAGTGGAGTGTGTTAGGAGTATGAGTTGCAGATATACGACATAATCGTCCGTGTATCGATGACGATGTCGTTGCTTAGCATCTTGTTGATTGCAATATCTTTTTATTCTGCTTATTATACATATTCAATAATTAATATTGCTTTTTGTTCTCAACTTTATTAGTAATTAAGTCATCAAGGTAATTAGACATAATTATAATTAGATGTTTATGTTCATAATTTATAAATAAAACTTTTAAATTATACTTAGGTTTAGGAATATATATTTTTTTAATTATTACTATTATCGTAATATCACTAATCAAAACTACTTCTGTTTATTATTTTGTATATCTTTCTTATTCGATGATGTTGATATTGATGGAGCCGACGGGAGCCAAAGGTTGTGTAAATTGCTTTTCTTTAGGTGAAGTTTCTATTTCTATGACCGGGTCAGGTGGCACCGATGGGTCTTCATCAGGATTCTCGTATAAGAAGTCCACCTGTAAAAATACAAATATAATACTGTTTTACAAATTTATATATATATTAATTACTATAGAGTGCACATTTGGTACCACCAAAGTGCGGATTGTAATGTCCATGAAGACGGCGATGATGGTCATGTCTCATGGGAAAAGGTGAGCATTTCTATCACACGGGTTGTCCTCATTGCTTGCCCTTTCACAATTATTAAAAGTCTCTTTACATTATCCAAATAGTACATTGGACCTAAAAAACGAGTTGTACAGGGGAGTCCCAAACTTCATGTAAAATACTATCAAATCTAGGTACTCTAAGATCTAAGACGATCACGTAATTTCACATTTTAATTTTAATATTAAAACACGAAATTACAGCTATTAAAATGTGTAACTACATAGATAATATACAAGATACTTACTTACCGTTATATCATTGAGTTCGGGAGCCACGTTAAACAGACTTTCTACGAAATTTTCGTAAAAAATATTTCCATCACCTTGAACATTCGCATCACGAAGTAACTCTAAAGTTTCAGCTTTATTGAACATATCACCATAATTGGTAACAATAAAACTAAGTTCATCAATTTCGAGAAACTTTCGTTTCTCTGTGTCGAATATCTAGAAGAAAGTGTAAAATTTGAATATTTTATATTGTAACCTGCAAGTTCTTATATATATAAGGTTAAATACTTTAAAAGCAAGCAGTAATTCATGTTTTAAGTTGGCTTTTACGATCCATTTATCTAATATGTATATGAATTGTTCTTTTGTTAACATTCTTGTTACGCCAGCCTTTAGTTTCTCTGCTTCATTCATTATTTCAGCATAGCTTGGGTAATGGAACATTCGTCTATGAAATCTGCAAAATAAAGATTTATTTGCATAAGAAGTGAAAACTTTAAATATCTACTAAACTGAGTAATTATGAAATAATACCCTACTTTTTTAATTTTAAAAAATCTATTAATTTCTCAATAGTTATTACATGTAAAGGATCACCATCATTAATCACCAGCAAAGGTTTAGAATGGACATCAAACCATGCAATTATTTCATTAATTTTCTCCTCAGTAAATCTTGGTGTAATACCTTGAAATGGATTGAAAACATCAAATAATGCCATATATGTAATTAATAAAAAATTTACACTGTCACGAAATGCGTACTCAATCTACTAGAATTTATAAAAATGTGAACCTTTAGGTATTCTTTTTTTAAGTCTTAAAAGTTTTTTCTCTAAAAAGGTATAAAAGCAAATTCAATTCCACGAGTACCTACTTCTTCTTTTAAATATTACTATTATAAGTAAAAATTATACGAATGGATTTATATTATTTCGGTTAATTAGCGTGTGTGACATCAAAAATTCTCTGGCTACTCTAATATTTCTATTTATCTACCTCCTACGTAGACTGCCATAAATCAATGTATTTTTTTACAGTAATTAATTTAGATTTTATTTAGACTTCTTAGGGTTTGTGACGGATTTATTTTCAAAATAAAATAACATGAACTGTATGCTTTTGCTATTTGCTAAAGCCGAAACATCAAGTTTTTTATTATGTCAAATTATCGAAACACAGATCAGAGATCACAGAATTCCAAAGACTCCAAAGAGTAAACCGGAGATAGATAAACTGTCAAACGTGTTTATTTTTGTATATTTTGTAAAGTAAAATTTGTTCTATTAATGTGTGGATATTACAAAAAATATTTTAATAACCAAATGAAACCTTATTAATTGAATACAAATACGGTGTCGTTTATCTATTGAATAAAATGTTTTTATAGTTTTATAAAGAAATTAAGATTTTTGCAGCATAGAATATGTTTGAGTCTGATGACTTTGATCAGGTTTGTGTTTGAAAACTTTAGCTTTAATTGCTCCGATAAATATAATATCATTGAAATTAAATTATAAATTGAATGAGTACATTCTGTGTTATTAAAAAATATATTTTGTTACAGATATTATCTCAATTTGATTTTAACGAAGTCCAAAGTGACGGCTCTGTAATAAAGACGGAGTCAGTAAAAAATATATTATGTGGTGTGCAAGCTCATATTCCCAGTCATAGTCCCAAAAAAGTTGCAAAAAGTTGTTTAGAAAAACATAAAAACAAGATTGATTTCGTTTCAAATAAAAATATACTAGAAATTGATAAAGTGTCACCCAAACACTTAAAACGGAATATTATTAATTCTCATTTTGATTACAATACAAAAAGAAAATTCCCTGGTCCAGCTGGGTTGCTACTGGGTAGTCTTCAAGAAAACAAAGACGAATCTGTGTCTAATATAGAGCTTCTGTCACAGGTTGGTTTAAGCCATATAGTACAGATTGTATACATATACAATCTGTACACATGTATATGTATATATTATTGTAATTTTAAGTAGCTTTATTATAGGTATTTTATAAGTATCAATTTAATGTAAATATGCAATGTAAATATTTTATTCATCTATAGTTATGTATTTTTAACTAGTAATATACAGTGAAAAATAAAAGGTTTTTACTCTGTATATTGGGTAAAAACTTATATTTTCCTATGTACATCAGTTAATCTTGTCATATGTTAAAGGTATACTACTATTGTTATAGGATATAGATTTCTCACAGCACAATATAAAGAAACAGGCATTTGAATCACCACTCTGGCATAGATTAGAAGAGCATGTAAAAAAATGGAAGTTGGTTGATGTTGACTCAATAATAAGTATAAAACAGCAGGCAGTTACTGGTGATCTCAGACAGAGAAAAGCACAAACTGTCACTGCATTTGTGGAGTGTGTTGATAGATCTGTGATTGATCCACTTATAGTATTAAGAGATACAACAGGTAAGATAAATTATTAACTAATATAACATTAATAAATATCTGTTTAATCTAAAAGGTGACTGGTAAAAAGCATTGCATTTCATTGTGCTTTTGTACTCTATTTTCTGCTATTGTAATCTATTATCATTTCATTCATAAAGTCTGTTTAAACACAGTCCTGCTGATCCTGTGCTTGTGTACTATTTTTAGGTGTTTTTTTTACTTTTATGCCATTATTTAATTTATAATTAAAGCTCATAAAGTACTTACTTTTAATTAATTTACATAGACCACATTAGGAAATTTTGTACATGTATGGAACAGACTGAGATTCCTGTCTTTACCACATAATTGCAAAAATATGGATTCATTGCAGCTCATACATACACATTAAACTGTTACTGTTATATGTATATAAACCTACTGGTATTAGCTTTATTTTGTCTGTCAGTCATTAATAAAGGTTGATTGCATGAAAGTAGGGTGACACTGTAAATACATATTAATGCAAATAAACCAGTATTCTTCTAACCAAAATATATACATAGAATAGGCATTAAATATTTTTTTATATTTACAGGTAATATTAAATGCACTCTTCACAGAGATGCATGGTCCACCTTTTCTTCTTATATTGTCTCAGAATATTGTGCTCTAGTCTTATGGAAACCAACAGTGCTAACAACAGGAAGTGCTTTTAAAAAGCATTATCTCAATATCACATTGAATAATATTTTCGCCATATTTAGCTCAGCAATTTTACCAAATAATGATGAGAAGGCATTGCCTAATGGATTTATAAAAGTCTATGAAGAACTATTTACAATTATTAAAATTGATAAAGCTCCTCAATGTTTAGGTAAGTACTTAACTGTTATATTTAATTCATAATTATTTACTTCTTACCAAGGAGTTGTTGTACCATGAAGAAATGTGTATCATGGTTGGTAAATGTGTTCTGTGATATCTATGGTTCATCAAGATAATAGGCAATGATTGCCACTTATTTTAAATGAACCATATCATGAGTGGAAAACTATTAGAATAACTGTAGCAATATTTATTTTCGAAAGTCATTTTACTACATTGAAGTACAAGTTACAATTTTGATGGAGTGATGCCTAGAAGGAAGGAAAGAATCAGACTTTTCTGTATCTAAGGAGTACAGTAATGACTAATCAGATAGAGATGTAGTCTATGCTCAGTAGACAGTGAATAATTTAATCTAATAAGTAAATAATCTTATAATAAAAAACATTACAAAGTGATAATGAAATCATTATAACTTTAATTAATTGATAAGTACCCCTATTGTTAGTTACTAGACATTTTTCAAATGTGGTTTCTTTGTTTCAGAAGCAAATTTAAATTCTAATTCTAGTGCCGCCACTGATGATGATATATTTGATGGCTTAGATAATGTCTTTTTCGAAGAAATATTTTGAACTAAATTTTATATGATATTGTCATTGAACAGTAAGATGCTAATTGAAGAAATAAGTAAATTATATGATTTCAAGTATTATGTGATTTTATTTGTCTAACAGAGGAAATGAAAGAATATGTTAATTGCTGACAATATTATTATGTTGGGTTGTGTGAATTTTCCTTCAGAAAAAATTCACACAGCCCCATCTAGTTACTAAATTGTAGTACCAAGCTAAGCAGAGCTTGTGCTATTGGTACTATACAACTGATATAAATTCTATAATAGTGTACACAAACTCTGTAGACACAATGGAAATGGTATAAATTAATGATAAAATTAATTAAAGTTATAAACATTTAAAATTAAAAAGGCAAAGCTGAATTAAATACTTTATTGTATATTGTATAAAAGAAATAAAATATTAATTTCATTTATATAACTTGTATATGCCTTGTAACTATGTGTTTAGATAATGTAGATGAATGAAAATATGTGCATGGGCACATATTGCACTTGTAAATACCATTTTTTGTCTGATTTTCTGATCCATTTTCTTCATTGCTTTCACTTTGCATTGGATTCTTTGGGTGTGCCTTGATATGATTTTTGCAGAAACTCAGCCTCTTGAATCGAGCCTGTAGTTATAATGTTATCAAGAATATAATTCAACTATAAGTAGAAAATGTCATGGCTTAGTCATTACATGAATGAAGAATGGCAGATAAGAAAGGATGTGTAAATTTATATTTATGATACTCTGGCGAAGAAAACACTATCAGTGTTTCCTTCTAATACGGTTCAAAATATACAGAGCGAAACCTGAGAATGTCAAGTCAGCCTCAGAGGCAGCCTATTATCAGAGATCATAGACGTGACGTATGTTCGTTTTGTTTTTATAATATAATTTTAGGAGTGTGGGCCTGCATCTATTTATTTCCTCCAAGTTCTCTTTCAGTGGTCTGCATCAGTATTACATTTACAGTATACATTTGTTCTCAACTAGTAGTGATTAAATAGATTTTTAGTAGTGATTATGCTAACAATAATAATAACAATTATTATGCTACAATAAAAATATACTTACATTACACTGCATGCAACAGTAAATCTTTTCTTTGCCATTCTCTATGTAATAGGCTTCGTTTGACTTAGTGTTTCCTGGTTTTTTAGAATCAGGTTCTACACCAACATTGGTGCAATGAATCTAAAATTAAATGAATTATATTTGCCAATAAAATATACTAAGCAATACCTAAGTATATTTTAATATACTAATCAGTGATAAGAGCTAGCAATAATAATACCTATATACACACAACCTTAATATTTTTATTTCTGTGGACACATTCTTACTCCATATAAGTAACATTACATTTTATATTGTTTGATAGTACTTGGAAAAAGAGTTCATTTACATTTATAATCATGATATAGCGGACCAGATAGATCAAATCACTGTTAGACATTTTAAAGTTGGATATTTTTACATATATCAAATAATGGCCAGTGTACTACCTATATAGGTAAGACACTGGCCTTATGCATATGCTTATGTAAAATATAATGAAATATAGGATTCATAATACCAACCTTTTGGTGGTCCATCAGTTCTTCTTCAGTGTTGTATAAAGCTGCACATGCAGCACAAGCATAAACTTTCTTTGTTTTATAGTTTTTTTCATTCAAATATGGTAAGTCTGAAATGATCACCAGTGAAATAATATTAATTCTTATATAATTTTGAGTAACTCAATAAAACAATTTGAAATTTTGTAAAATATGTGCTAGCTTATTAGTTCCTAAATAGCACATGCATTACTATTATTGTGACTGACTTACTGAGAGTGAATGACCTAATTCATAATTCTCTAACCGTAATTTACACTTACTTCTTTTGATAACTGAAACGGCGGTCTTTACCACGTTGGATTCTCCGTGTTTCTGTTCAGTTTCTAGAACATGTATGTGTAGTACACTATGGCTACCTATTGCATTTCCAGTCTCTCTACTGACGAAACCATATTCTCCTAAAACATAAGAAAGCATTTTTGGTCTTTTAATTTTTATTATTTTTGGGTACACAGTTGACCTCGTTATACCGATGGAGAAAGAAATGTCTACTATTATACTAGTCTTATTTAAAAAAAATTAAAATACGGTCCTTAAGTGCTCATTAATTAACTTCTATTTCCATTTCAGACTCACTAGAAAATTAACAAAGTACAATAAATTATTTACCTCCGTGAGTAAGTTTGAGCACCATGTCAGGAATGTGAATAAACCTCCATTGGTTGTTAATTAATCTTACTTGACCAGTAACTAAAGTTGGTTTAGATCTGCTAATCACATTCCCATGTACATCTTCTGTTCGTTTTTCCTTTGTAAAAAAATAGGATTACAGAATGCATAATATGAAAAAATAATTACTATTAGCTATTTCAATTACATAAAAATCGAGGAGTATTTTAATTCAACAGAATTTTATTTTGTGTGTACATTACAGGATATTTCGATACTTATTTTGCATTCTATAATATTTTTTCTTGATTTGATATTAATGTTATAAATATTGTGAAGTTCAATAAAAAATTTTAATTTCACAAAATTAGTGAAATTAAATTTTTTTATTATCTTCAGTGTAAAATATAAAAGTTACCTTAGTGATACATAAATTGTAACATAAAATAGAAGTTTTAAATGAAGGTATTTTAATAAGCTGCATAATTAATATTTCTGTTGCTTCGAAGTCTTTAGCACTTATTTTTCTGCCATTACTTCCCTGTAGTGACTCCTCTAAAATTTCAGTGAATTCCGATATATCTAGGCCAATAGTATCTGCAACATTATAGTTAAATTTAGTCTGTCAATTATATACTTAATAAATATTTGTAGATACACACTTTTTTCCTCTATCTTTCAAACGTAATCTAAACCTTTTTTGAATCTAAAGTTTTTCATATAAAATATAAGGAACCCCTACTTATAAAATATAACTTTGAAACCCCTAACCACGTAGCACGGATCTATGTATTAATAAATATACAATACATAGGATATATTTTGTTTAATATATAAATAATTTGTCTATATATAAGAGAGTTACTATATTACCTGTATGTTTTGATACAACATTAGATGTGTCTTTTGAATGATTAGGTAAAACCTCTATATGATTTCCATTATGATAATTAAGATCATTAGAGCAAGTTTCTTTTTTCTTCACTTTTGCAACCAATTTTTTACCATTGATTGTCTTCCCCAAAACTATTTTATCAGGAAAATCTGAAATATGTAGTAATAAAATTTGTACATTTTTTACCTTTACCTTTCTTTCCGTTTTAATAGTTAAGCATGAATGTAATATATATTTATCATTACGACAGGATTCAGCATGATAATGATTAATGATAGTTTGGGTGTATATATACAAATTAAAATTAAATTATCATTAATCATATATATAATATCTATATATATATAATCATATCATATTATACAGCTGAGATGGTGTATTAACACTAAAATTAATAAAATTAAGTGCTAGTAATATAGGTAATCACAAACAAAATGGTTTTAGGAATCACCTTTGAAAGTTAATTTCGTTTTAATCCTTAACACATTGCTATCTTGTTTTCTTGAATCACTTGTTTCATTGTCAATTACAAATATTTTTACATCTACAGTGTCCTCTTCATTGTTTTCCACATCCCTCGTTTCTTTGTTTTCCAGTGTTATGAGATCTGAGGTTTTAGGTACTGTCTGGTGCTCATTAGGAATCTGTTCTGATGTGGTGCACTCTGTATGATGAATTTTGTGTATTATGTTACAATTATGTTAATATTATTAATAGATGTTTTGATAGTGTTGTGGTTCAACCATAAAAACCAAATTTAGTGTGTCAATTTAAATTTTAGACAGGCTCTCCTATGATGGCAACACTGATAATAAACCAAACTAATCCGATATACAGCGGTAGGACGTTCGACGATGGATGCACTTCATTCATGTTATAAAAGGAAAAATATGAAATGTCAAATAATCAATACCATATCTGAGTTTATTTACCTTCTCTATCAGTAATTACGAAAGATAAGTTCTGTACATTGTCATCAATCTGTACATTATCGTCACTTTTGATCACAAATTCTTGTTGGGTAGAAGTATGGGCAGTGTTGTCATATCTACTTGTATTATTGACGCTCATAGATCTGAAATCCAATTTTTATATTAGGAATAATAAGTATCTATTTTCTGTTAACACACTTGGGGCGTACCATTCTAACATGACCCATTACTACAAAGATAAAATATGAGGAATTAAAAAATAATTTATGTTAGCTATTTTAAAATTTAATTAGGGTTAGTGCAGTTGCTAGCATATTTTGAGCATTTTGGCTTACATTGCATTTGATACTATTGCTAAATATTGTCTTACTTGGAATATTAACGTCAATCATATTTTTAAGTACTACAGAATGGGTAATAATTAAATTATAGCTTGCCCTTTTTTAATTTAATTTCGCCACTACTTTATTTTCTCTCTATCCATCCATTACGAATTAGTAGAAGATAGATATTATTGACACAGATTAGAGTTAAGGTTGACTTATTTAATTTCGATTTCAATACATACCCTGATTTATTCCTTATATTATCATTTTGGTTAACAGCTTTCAATTTTTCAATTAATTCTGTAAAAATATTTAAGTTTAAGCATTTTTTTATGTAAATTATGCCATCAACAAGAAATATGCAGGATGAAAAAAATAAATACTTTCATCAGTTGTTATGTCACGAAGTCCACCCAATGTATCAAGTATAAATACTTTCTCATTAATTTCCAGCATAATCCAGCCCTTATCTTCTAACTGTGAATATTGTTCATCATGAAGTGTTATCTGCAGAATAGACATTTTAGATACTTTAGATTACAATAATTTATAGTCCATACTATTCTGTTGTGTGTCTAATACATGGTTTGTGTAATATTTTTTTATTGGTGTAATGTTATTTATTATGGAAATAAAAAAAATGGTGGTGTACTACTTTTCTATATTAACTATAAGTGTGCAAAATTGCATACACCTCCAGCTATGCAACTTTCATAAAAAGTGATACAACATTTGTTCTCCACATGTAATGATAATAATTAAATTAAAAAATTACCTCAGTGTAATTATTAGTATTCTTATTAATATTGGTATCTATATCTACATCCATTTGAGTATCATTTGGTTTGAACTCATCATTTGTGATATCTTGATCGATCTGCAAATAAAATTTGTTTATATAGGACCTAACTTCAACCTATTATTATACTTTCAATAGAGCCAGTTTATATTAGCTAAGTTCTACCATGCAGAGCCTATATTTTGCACTAATATAATGTTCACACATTCTAAAATGTCTAAAAACAAAACTATAATTACTAATTAGTAAAAATTATGAATAAAATAAAAGTATTGGTATACTATAGCCTATACCAGTCTCAGGGTTTGTTATAATAATAAATCTGAGTTTATACAGAAGTTTAAGGGTTGTAGTATTGAAGTTTTCATATACTAATGAAACTTCTGGTTCTTCTCTTCAAAGAGTTGTAGAAAACCCTTCTAAATTTTGCATAAGTTGGTAATATGGAAATAAATGCACAATGTTCTATTCCAAATATAGTTATAAGTTTAAGATAATATGTAAATGTTAAACTAATACCTCTTGATTAGTTGTATCAATAGAAGATCCTGGGAGTAGATAACTGTTAGCATACAAATTGTTTGTTCGCTGAGGTATTGAAAACTGATCTGAAATATTTTTTTACCACTAATGTTATTAATGAATTTAATTATTGTTCTCAATAATATATTAGGGAAGTCATATAATAATCAAAATATATTATTTATGAACAAAATAAATTATAATATATAATTATAAAATTGAAATGATAATTATTTTATGCAAATGTTACTGTAGTATCATTTTGTTATACAGTTGTAAAGTGTAAAGTATACAGTAGTAGTGTGTTCAAACAATTTCCAAGTAGAAAAGTGTTTTGAGTTTTCAGAAAAGCCAGCTCTTCTTGAGCTCATGACCTTAATAAACAGTGAGCACTGTTGTGGAGTGTAGGTACATGTTGACCTGCCTGGTTCACATCATGTGATATATAGTAGCCATATATACATATATAGTAGCCGTCAGTCAGTAGCAGGTAACATCCTAAGTTCTCAGAAGTCGAGAATTAATAAAACTTCATTTTAACTTACCAGACACAGATATAAGTTCAGAGGACACATTTTCAACATTGACATAAAACTGTTGTGGGGTGACATCATACACTATGGGGGTTTCCACATTGTCAAGCATTTCCTTTCCATCTGCCACTTCAGTTATGTATTGGATTGGTCTATTAACTATAAAAAAACTCACATATTATTCTATAATTATTACAGTACACAAATATATTACAATAAAGGGGGAGAGGATTGTAAGTAATAGGGAATGGTAGACCTTATTGATAATAATTTATGAATATGTGAACTTACGTAGATACGTCCCATCTTCGTGAACGACAAAAAATTGATTCGATTCTTCGTTGACATTGTCGGTAGATAAATATTCATAAGTACCATAAGTATTTTTTTCCATTTATATTAACATTAATAACACATTTATCAATTTGGTTAACAAAAGTTTTATATTTTTCTAATATATTTCTTTCCGATAATTCTTCGTTTCTTTTATCTTGAAATTGTAACTTTAGTAACAAAATATACAATGGAAACTTTGTTTACTAATGTCATTTGTCAAGATCAACTGTTGTTCTGTCAATTATGACAATCTAATGAACATGGCAGGTAGGAGACTTTTTCGCCTTAAAGTGCGTTCAATTTTAAATAATAGTATTTACGGTAAAGTGAAATCAAAAACGTAACTTACTGTAGCAAAAGCTTCACAGTGTACAGTATTTCTAAAAGCGAAAACATAGTTTTTCAATTCCACTGGTTCATATAGAGGTGCTTTAAACTCTCCAATGACCATCAACTGTACAATTTCATTAATCATAAGATCTTTTTCCACGCAAGTTGCTTTAGCATCCCAGTCATTTAAATGAAATCTGCCAAATGTTGCATCGTACCGTAAAAATTGTTTAACTAAGGGTAAATTAAATGCGCAACCATAGTAAACTATAGTTCCGTTACGCTCAAGTAGTTTCAGCATTACATTTTCATATCTGCTACCTAAACAATTTAACGCTAAAAGGGGTCTCGTCAAAGATGTGTTGAACTCTGTTAATTCTTCAGCTTCTTCGAGCGTGCATACGTAAGTCGCTCCTAAATTTAATAGATGCTCCTTAACTGATTCATATCCGCAGTGATTTGCAACTATGTTTATTGTATTTATACCCCATATTTTGCATAATTGTATTATGCATTGTCCACATGGGCTATTAGCAGCGTTTTGTATTACTGTGTCTCCTGGTTTTAATGTTTGGAAATCTTTTAACATTCTATAAGCTGTACAAGGAGCTATAGTCAGCATGGCAGCTTCAGGTACTGGTAGATTGGGCGAAACAATGTGAACATCTCTTTCATGGTAAATTCCGTAATAACGCCAGGTGCCAAGTAATCTCGAAGTTAATACTACTCTTTCGCCAGATTTTACTGTACATACATGATTACCAATCTCTACTATTTCTCCAACACCTTCGTCGCCCCCAATCGATGGTAGGCAAGGTAAGATTATATTATTTCCTGGAATAAAAAAGTATTTATATTACTTAAATAGTAATTTAAACTATCAAGTCGTGATTGATTAAGACGACCAAGCTTTACTGGCACAGTCTCTACTGGTCAGTTTGCACCTTCAGGAATCGAACCCGCGACAATCCGACGTGTTATAGACCACCGAGGCGGTCAAATTAATGTAGAGAATTTTGTAATATATCCGACGATTTTTGTAAAAAATTGGAGAATGACATGTACCATAACATGGTATATACGTTCCATAACATGAAGTAGAAGGTATTATAGTCAAAGTAGATATACAATCAATAAACGATTTCGATGTTGCTCTGAAAATATAAAAAAGGACCCTTCATATATTACGTGCGCACAGGGCGATTACATTATCATGTGCAGTCCGGATGCCCTGTGCCGACGACACCATTTGAAGAATGCATTTCCAAAGGTCATAGGCGACGTGATAGGCGTCGTCGGCACAGGTAGTTTGATAAGTATCTGAAATGTTTGGGGACACTAAATAGAATATATGTAAAATTAATTTTAAATCATATATGAGATTTTATTATCAAGGCAATATTTTTACATGCATGTAAAGAAAACACAGTTACATATTTCATATTATATTACTACAACATAAAGAAATACAATTGCAAAAAATATTGGGAATTATGTAGTAAAATCTAGAACATATTTACATCCTGTGAATCCTGTGGAAGTAAGAGCATTTTCTAAGGCCTCTTTATAATTATCAAACTTTACCATTTTATGGACAGGACCCTTTAACTTATTATCACACATTAATGACACAACATCAGTCATCATTTTTTCTTTATCTGTAGGATTTGCTTGTTCATTCCAGTGTGTCATCCAAAATCCATAAAAAGAAAGATCTTTAAATATAAATGCAGACGTAGGAATGCTAACCGGTTCTCGAGACATCCCACCATAGGTGACCATCTTTCCAGAATGTTGTAAATGTCTCATCATTTCTAAAGAACTTTTGCCACCTACACAGTTTAAAGCTAAGGATGGCTTATCAATTTTTTTTTCTTTAAATATATTTGTTGATCGTAACTCATCTTCAGTCAGTACATAAGTTGCTCCCAAGCATTCTAAATATTGTTTGAGATCTGCAATGTCAGGTCTATTACGCACAATGTTAATATTTTTTATACCCCATGCTTTACAGATTTGTATAACATTTTGACCGCAGGCACCATTTGCTCCATTTTGTATAACAACTTTGTTGTTATTTTTTACAGAAACAAAGTCTACTAACATTCTATAAGCTGTACAAGGATTAACAGTAAGGGTAGCAGCTTCCACAACTCCTAAATCATCTGGAACAACTCGTACAACATTTTTAGTAAAAGTAGCAATAGTTCTCCATGTGCCTTGAACGGGTTTTGTAACAATAACTTTGTTTCCGGGACTGATGCCTTCAATATCTTTACCAATGTCTTCAACAATACCTACACCCTCATTTCCAGCAACAGTCGGCAAATCCACTTTAACAGGATATTTACCTATAACAATTTAAAATACAGTTAATGCAGAAATGTAGTCTTATTATCAATAAAAATAAATAAAAATAAATACCTTTCTCATCTTGAGTCAGAATTTAATTGATTAGATAACCCAAGAGTTATAATATTTATCTGCAAGATAAATTTGGTAGAAGTTACTTTGTACCTTGTATGGTATTAATGTCAGCAGGGTTGACTGGTGCGGCTAGCATTCTCACGAGTACCTCCTGGCTGCCGAGGGGTGGTACCGAACATTCTCTAAATTTTACAACTTGCAGTGGATCTCCAAATTCGTTGTATACTAGTTGCTTTGACATCAGACTTCTCACACTGACTTTTAGGTTACAGTATTTGTTCATATAACATTTTGTTGTTGAATATAATATTTTTGTGCGGGAGAAAAGAGCCATGATTATTGTTAAGGTGCCTATGAATGCAAATGATTAAGAATATTAAATAAATAACTGCGTAATTTCTAATTCAATTTTTGGTGACCATTTGTTTGTTTTGACAGCCTGATTTGACATTGCAAATTTTGTGTTTGACATATTGGATTTGACACATTTTATTTTCTCAAGTACCTTACATACCCAGTTTAAAAACAATACGAAACAGCCACATGTTTGTATTAATTTTCTACTATTAAATCATACATAGTATAAATTACTAAGAACTATATACTTTTATACCATGTCCTTATAACTGTCGGTCATCAAGTCGATCAACATGGTCTACCCTAGAAATAGTCAACTTTTTAATGAAATTACTTTGATGGGTTTTCAGACTTCGTTTTCTATCAACTATCATGTTTTTACATTTTTATATTTCTTCCAGTTTTCGCTGGTTCGTCGTCAAAAATAAGGCGGGAGTAAATAATTAATGCATTAAAAAAACTATATTTATGTCATCGTCATTATAGTAACATTATATTATAGTTACACTTTTGTTTTTCCGCGGGCATAATAATCGTCAATCGACCATGGGACACCAGTGTGTCGTGACACACTTTGTAGAACATTGCCTTGCAGAGTCAACACAGAACTTTTGCCAAGTTAACTTCTACATATTTATTTTAATTAAAATTTATGTCGGCATTGGTAATAGTTTATTTTAATGGTTAATTAATAATAATGTTAGTTGTAGAGTAGTAAAAATAGAGTTTAATATGCAAGTTTCAAGTTTCATTTTTAAGGAACCGGACCACTCGGTTGTCTAAATCCTTTTGTGCCACTGGAGCTGCTGCCAGGGGCGGTGCAATGGCCTCTGGTGCCATGACTTGAAGTTTTGGAGGACGAAATCTGCGAGCACGCGTTAGTTGCCACGATGCATTTGTGTTTCGTAATCCACCAAGAATTCGACCTGCATCTTCATCTACGGCGGTCAAGGCAGGACGTGGAATACTAAAGTAATTAAATAAAAAGGTTAGGTATATTGAAAAGGATCTTCATACAAAACAAGTTTATATATTTAAAACACTACCCGTAACAGTTTTAATCATAAAATGTATACAGACGTGCGAAAACATGGTGTTTGAAAAATGCAGATACAGAAACAAACAGTTTATGAATTGAAATAATAAGTAACGAACTTTACTTTATTATAATATTGATGGTGGCAAACAAGCATAAGGCCCATCTGGTGGTAAATAGTTACCGTAGCCTATTGATGCCAGAAACACCAGGGGTTGTACGTGTGTGTTGCTGACCCATAAGAAACCCTAATATGCCATTCTTGAAAACCCCAATGCTGTTGCAGGTAGTTCATTCCACAATCTAAGCGTACGATGGAGGGAGCTCCTGATTCTATGTTATAATTATTTATATTGGCTTTACTGGGGAATTGAAAACAATAAATATCATGCTATTCATGTCTCACTATTCAGACTTACATTGTGGGTAATTTCAGGTACTGGGCATTGCAAGAAGTTTTCAGGTGAGCAATGTAACCATGACATCATAGTGTCCATATACAAGGCTCTATCAAGTTTCATACTATATGAATTGGATAGACTCCAAAAGATAGAGTTTGGACGACTAAATTCCAAGTTTAGTGAAGCCGATCTATAACTAAAATAAAGACATTTTTATTACTATTCCATAGTGATGGATGCTCGCAACCGTGCAGGCGCTATTACTGTTGGAAGTTCTGATGACGAATTTCTCTTCAGACCTGGTACACATAATTATTTTTATAGAGATATTTATACAACAAACTAAACTAGTATTTAGCATTAGTATACCCACCAGAATTCTTAACATTAATTATAGAGCTACGATCTTTCCACTTTTCTGAACAAACTGGACAGACCGACCGGCGAATAGACCACCGAGGTATTTCTTCCTTCTGCGGAGGATTCATTTTGCTAAAGGCAGGTATTTCGAGCTGCGCCTTTTAAAATTTAAAGAGTATTACAATTTATGCTTTCATATATAAATGCCATATAGGTACGTAAATTAATGATTAGTATATGAGTACAAAAATCTCTGATTATTAAAATTCAATAAACATAAGGGGTGTAGCAACATACATTCTACACGTGCCATGGGATACACGTGGAGGTCATCCTTACACGGTACATTGCTAGCAATGGGGTGACTAATTCCCATTACTAACAATCTCCTACCCCCACTGTATTGTCATTGCAGTGGAAAAACATAGTTGATACATAGGTATGTAATAGAGTTTACCGGAGGAGGTTCAGTGGTGGCAGTAAATGCTAGGATCGAGGGTATATCCATGTCCCGTCGAGTTGATATACGGGAGACACGGGAACGAGAGATGCTACGCTCCGTCATCCGCATACTAAGCCCATGTACACAGGCTGCACTTGATTGGTAAAAAAATGCAAATGTACTAAAAATGCAAATAAAATTAAAACCCTTCGCTACAACTCTCGTTGTCTTCAGACAATTTAAAAATAATATTTTATCGAGCCACTGTTGCAAACTATATATATATATTTAGTTGTGTTACGATTAAAATATTATACACTAGTCATCTGTCTATGCACTCTACCGCTACTGAAGAAAACTGTGAGAAAGTTGTAGGTAATAGACGTAATTGAATCGAGAGTGAAAGTTAAGTGGGAACATGAGTATTTTTTGCTAATGCCTCTTTGTCATCTTGATACTAACTTATTATCTAATACTGTAATTGGCATATTTAAGTAGGTACATATGTAATACTTAACGAAAATATATTGTTCTTACTTTTATAGCCAGGTATTATTTATTTGTAAAATTACTTTTAAGTTATGATCAAATAAAAAAAATGTTATTAAGTTATTACCTATACATCTACTCAACTAAAAGTCGTTTAAATATGTGGTGGTAGTAGGTATATATGTAGTTACTACCACTAACAGATAATTATGTACGAACCGCTAAGCTTTAGTTGTCCTAAATGTTTACTGTACCTATGTAAAATTTTACGTAACTTACTCATCAGAGATATCATCACGAGGCAATTCCAGGGTTTGGTCTTGAGCTTCTTGTAACTCCTGACTGCGTGCTCGTACCATATCCAGCAACACTGTTTCGTTACCCCCCAAAACATCTAGTCTATAAGATGTAAAGTAAATGGTTTATTCGTTAGTCTATATATATGCGCACATAGATACACAAATATAAAGTTGTAAGTCATTAGTGTAAACGAAATAGCAGTACATATAATACATATGCCTACCTACAGGGCTATCGGCCCCCGATTAATTATCTATTTATGTACAACGATTTATTATAAACAAATTACAAAACATTGAAACATATCGTTACCGGTTAATTTCTCAACAAGTAATTAATTCATATCACTTACATATATGTATGTACCCAAAATCTATTGCAAATAAATTTATTATTATTATTATTACTTTAAATGGTTTTGTGGGAAGGCATCCTCTATAACAACACACTTTTTCTACATATAATGCAGTTTCTATTTAAAGACAGTCTTGTTTAATACTTATGTAGCATTAATTCTCACACTAAGTTTCTTTAGGATTGAAAGAAACAGAACGTGGATAATAATTTGCTTCATTTATTGAACCCGCCTTTTGCGCGCTTGCGTGATATAAGAAGACATGTAAAGAAAAACAAATCTACTACTAACTGCATAGATTCTCTGTCGCTACAGCTGTTGTATGTCTCACTCCTTTGGGAAAGCAAAGAAGTAAGATATCTAGGGCTAGGTGCTTCAGAACTGCATGGAGATTCCTGTCGGTTTGCCCACATTCTTATTAGCTGGGATGTATGTGGTGAAGAATCGTTACTCAAAAACGATATGCGGCGTGGCTCTTCCTCATTGGACCTTGAAATAAGGAATAGAATGTAGATTTAGAAATGTTGTTATAACTTCAGTTTTTGTCTTTTTCAATTATAATATCTCCAACGAAAACGATAGCGTCTCTGACATTGTTGTAATGTGCAGCAGTAACTTTTTTCTGTTATAGGTACAAGTAATTACCTATACCTCTCGGTATCGCTATTTCATACGATTGACATGGATACTTGTGGAAGAATTTGTTAATATTATCGCTCAAATATCAATTAATAAAAAAGCTACTTATAGCTTTACTTTACTTACGAGCTTTTTTACCTTAGTTAGAGCTGCATAGCTCCAATCTCCAACGGGCTGCGGATTCGAGGCAGTCACTTATTCATGTCTGTTATTTTTATATCTAATAAAAGTCAAGGTAATAGTCTATGTACAAAATATTTCATATAAAATATAGTCCACAGTGGGTTTATAATAGTAACTAACTGGTTGCAACTCCGCATCGATTAATGGATCAATAATACTGGTGTTTAATAGGTTGTATCAAATCAATTAGTGGTTTCAAAAGATTTACAAAATATTAAATATTTTTTTTGGTATGAGACAATGATATGTTACTTTGATATATAGGTACTGTAATATTTTTTCTCGTGTAATCAACCTATGGAAAGTAGGGGTCGGATATTCATTCATATACAAACAAACAACCATACAAATGTAGGGTTCATAAAGGATATACAATATACATTAATTTAAAATGCAATTTTTATATACAATTTTATTATATTATCGGTTAAAAAATTTTAAAGCAAGCAATAACTTTTTCGTAGTTTCTCGAGGAACAACGAGAGTTTTCGTGAGTTGTGGTTACTGCTACACTGGATCGACTCTCGATTTTTTAGACCTTCTGTGACTCACGGTACAGATGACTCATTATACTTAATAAGCAACCTCGGTTTGAATTGCATTTTGTCGATATAAGTTCAGTAGAGTTGTTACATTGTAAAGACTATGGCACGGTTTATAATTTTTTAACTCATAGTCACAATACTTATACAAACGGTCATCGCTATTTGACTGACATTTTAATGGACGATAATGTAGTCTACCGTACCGTATATGTATATGCTGGCGGGGTACCAGTAGAAGATGACAGGAGCACAAAATTGAACATGAAACGAAACTAAACCAGCCCCTAGGAATCAACCGCTACGGTCCAGGAAGGTGAATCTGACAACTTTGCTGGCAATGGCGCCGTTAGTCTCCTAGAGAAATTCACCTAACTATTACTAATACTAACAAAAAGGGTCAATTGGAATTAATGGAAGAGCTACAAATGGATATTACTGTAAATGTATACATACCTACCTATACAAAGTTATATTTTTTGTACGTTATCCTATGTTGATGAATCTTTTTGTCATTAATTACATTAGGGTACATTAGGTAGGTTATCACAGGTTTGTCGTTTACAGTTATGATAAACACTGTATATAATACTGATAAGATTTTGCACACAAAAGAACCTCATTTGTATCTACAGGCCCTATGGAGTATGATTCATATCCGCTTACTTTCTTATTATCAGTGAAAAAATGTTGGTAATAGCCTGTAGTTACGAATAATTAACCCTTATCGACAGTTTAGCATATCATGTCAATGTTAATTGTACCAAATTGGCAATATCTACCCAAATGTACGAATTAACGAAGTTCTGAATTTTTAACTAATAACAACAAGCAATTCGTTACGTTATTTATATATATAACATTTATTTTTTTATGTATACACTTATATTAAAAATAATAATTTGTGATTCTGATTGCATCATTAGAGATTTGCTATGTTTGAGACGCAATGCCTTTGACATTTCGCGACAAAAATATTATATATAGAAACAATATAGACATATTTATCGAAAAATATTGGATATTATGATTTGCAAAAATCATCATCATAATATTCGTGGACACATACATTATATTTTTGTAATACTATACTTTTTGATTATTATTGGGGGGTTTGGACTATTGTCAGGTGCTAAGACCTGTAACACTGATATTCTTAGGAGCGATGGCTTTAATCTCCTCAGGATAATAGTGTACTTTCCAAAGGAGATATTATGTTTATGCATGAAGGGGCTAGAACCACATAGGATGTGTAGTAGAGTTTCCTTTTCTGCTTGGCAAAATCTGAAGATTGATGTTAAGCTAAAGATTAATTTCGCCGATCTTAATTAATACTATACTTACGTAGAAATACGCCGAGAGGAATATAATTTGGAATAACGGCCTTTCCAATCGCCATTTTTTCGCCAACTCGATTGAATATTCCTGAAACAAACGAATTTATATTTATTAACATTAGTTTTTTAATGTAGAGTAAAAACATGCAAAACTTAAAGACATGTAGGTAGATAGGTGCAATATACACAACTTACCAAATATATACATGTAGTTGTTATCAATGTGTGAAATAACGATATAAAATGTGATTGGTTAACAGGTTTGGCAATAAGTCACATGTAATAACTATGGTGAGAATTTGTTATCTCCAGCTGATTGCAAGGGTTTGTTAATTGATAAAACATACAAACATACATACAATCTAAATTTATGCCATTAGCTGTAGTTGTAGCTGTAGCTGTAGCTGCAAATAAATAATACAATATAAAACACCTTCATTATCCCTAGATTTTTTTGGTAGAAAGAGTACTAGGATATTAATTTTAACTAGATTACATTCCACAAAATAAGTTAGAATTTTTTTAATGCCTAATCAAACTACTGCCATACTACAGAGGTATAAATATGTATATTACCATTATTATTTTTAAAATTCTGTCTAACAAATCAATAATACATATTATAGAGTAAATGGTCTGGAAAAATATCTAGTTTCATAAAATAATTATGTACCTTTGTGTATTATGAGCTCAAAAAATTACTTAACAAATCAGTATCTAATAAAATGTAACACTAAGATTTTCACGAAAATAGCTAATATTATTTATCCTATTTTATACTACTGTTTTGGTATTTTACTTTGTATCTACGTCTGTAATTCTTCAGATATCAAAGAGTAGGTAAAATGAAATAAGTAGGTACACCTAAGTCAAAGATCCCGAGTTCTGTGCGAAGAGCTAACCATAAAATCATACGACTGTACGAACACGTCATGAATAAATCGTAACATAAATTTCAACCATTTTGTAAGCTATTATGAGCAAAGTTTAATAACCGAATAGTATATTGGAACATTCACATTCAAAAGTAGTTTATTCCTTATGGGATATATTTATGTACCTATAGTTCGATTTTGTTATAGACAGGCGTATGTTTAGGGTTCTAGTTTTATATTTTTTGTCGAGCTTGTATATTATTATGATAAATATAATTTATAAACTTCTCGTCACATTAATTACAGTAAGTTTTTATACTTTTATGCTATTCATAACTTCTTCTTCTTCTTATTCTTATTCTGCCATTGAATATACAATAAGAACAAGAATAATAACGAAATTTCGGTGCATGGATAGTTGAATTTTCTCTACAATTTCACGTAATAATTACTGACGAATTCGAATGAAAATTAGCACACAGATTGATATCTAATAGCCTAGATTACTTCTTATCCAAATTCAACGCGTTTAGCATTACAGGATATGGTTAATATTTACATTCTTAAATTTTCGTTGAAGTACTATCCAAATTGATGTAAATAAAACATTCACTTTTTGTCATCAAACGTTGAAGGCTACGGGGCTGCTGACTGTGGCATGGTTTTAGATGAATCACTTTCACTATAGTTTTTCGTATGCTATTGTTGACATTAGTCTCCGGTCATTTACATGGAGCATTGTAGAGATCAGAAGACGTTTTAACTCAAAGCGCTTTGTACCTGCGTCCATTTGGAGTTTACCTGATGTGGTACTTATACACATAAATACCTTTTTACACATTAATTATTTATATTTCTTAGTGAATGAAATTTGATAACTCAAGAAGTTCAAATTTGCGAATTTTATATTTTTTCTCTATGTCTACGACGATTTTTGGTTCTGGTATGGAGAATCTAAAATTTTACAGTTAAAATACTGAAAACCACTTGGTGCATTTCTCACGATGGGCAAAAAGACTTGACTTCATGAGCACCTTATCATCTTCCACTGGTTCCCTAACAGGATATATCTTTAACACAGGTGGGAACACAATTCTCTTTCATTAGATAATTAATAAATCTAGTTACAATAGGTAATTTGTTACTCTGAGTTTTAGCTAGGTATATCATGTTTTGACTGTAAGCAAATTCTTTAGGTACGTGTGGAATCATTAAAATACTGACAAAAAATGTTATTAGCTTTTGCTTTAATTTATTACTTTTATCATAGTAGAAAAAATGCTACTACTCTTTACTACTTACGTAACTATAATACTCAACAGCAAAACCAATTTCCTTAATAAGAACTATATGAGATTTATTCAATAATTTATTGGAAAAGGTTTACAAAATACAAGAAAATTGTTATTTTTGGAAACACTAACTGCATTTTAAACTTTGATAATTGTCAATTTATCAATGTATACAAGAGTTACAAAACGTATATAATTTTAATTTTCTTGAAATTACATTACTTATTACGATGTACCACTATTTTATGTAGTGTCAAATTTATTGGTTTTATGCTGAAAACCATAGTTTGTTGTTCTGAGGTTTTATTTATGTGAATGTAAAAGACTGTATTATTTAATTTTGTTGGAATGTGCCATATACGTGACATTTCGTTTTTCTTATGATAAAGTAAATAGTTATTGTTCATAGTTATTAGGCGTCTACTGAGTAGATAATCACTACGTTTTATAGTCTACCATAGATAAATGTATATCGGTGCCGTATTTATTTTAAATATTTGGTATTATTAAGCCTGAATTCATCTGATACGCCTCCTGCCAATTCACATGTAGTCAGCGAAATATGCGCATGTCAAGTGTTGCGTTTACTACGACGTTGATAATTGACGATGCCTCTGACTACCCCGTCTGGGATAACAGTAGTAATGTCATGTTTATGTAGTAATATTTTTATATAGTGGTAAAGTACGCTCTGTGGGCTGAGTTGTGCTTCACGATGAAGGTAATCATATCTAAATTCCTCATAGACTTACTGTGAGCTTATTATAAACCAATGACTAATAGGATATTTAGTAAATGTTCTTTTGGCATTATTAAACACCAAAAAGTACCATTTAAATTATAGTATATTGTGTTATTAATTTATTGTACATGGTAATGTTGTGGAATGGCAATGGGACTAATGGCTACGGTGCACAGTACTTTGTGTTAATTAATGCTGTCATTTCTCAGGACTAAAGTGATACGTCTCCATATCTATTATAGTATTCTCATGGTTTTATTATAATTTAGATTTAGATATCTGTTTGGTATCTACTAAACATACAATATCCATAAATTTAAATATATCTACGTATAATATTATCAATAGGCATTCACTATATGGGCAGTAGCGACATACTACTTCCTGTTCCACAAGTCAATTTGGTTTACTAATTCTATAAAATAATTTCTTAGCTTTCTTCGTTTAGTAGAACGATCTTTGGAGGTGTAACCTTGGTGGTAAGTCTACATTTTACATTTGATACATTATTATTATTATTAAATTATAAATTAGGATCGTGTATGTAACGAATGTGTTAATCGTAAAAGACATATGAAACCGAAAGCTAGAGACAGTATATAGAACTGTACTACTTAACAAAAAAAAAAAGCTAAAATGGAAAACTGTAAATATTTTTTTATTATGTTCGTGGTGGTGGGAAAAGTTCTAAATTTATTTTGCAATTTCCACTTTAATTCTTGGCACAGTATAGTAAGTATTTTATCTGCTTGGTTTAGCCTGTACTACTTACTGCCTAGCCCTAGTATGGTACTTACTCACCCCCGTATATTAGCCTGAATTTGATGAGTCTGTACTCTATGTTGAAAACCAAATTTCTAAAGTAAATTATATTTTTTATCTGTTTAGGAGAAGATCGACTCCAACGTTCACCTAACACAGCCTGGATTAAAAATAACCATTGATAATATCGTATTATATATTATAGATTTCCTTAATGATCCATTACACTAATGTATTATAATGATACACTATAATTCCTGAATTAAGAATTAGTATTTCACTTAGAAATACTATTAGAAATATTTTACATATCAATGAGTTGAAGCATTATTGATTGCTTATAAATAAACCCATAATTTATTTCTTCGCAGAACAAATAAACAAAATTATAATGTACCTATCGTTTGACTGTATCAATTTCTAATTAAAGCGTTTTCTAAAGTGATATCTTGTGAGATATTGAGAATGTTTCTTATTAACCCAGTAAAAGTTGACCTCACGCCATGTTGTGAAATTACTTTAGGAAACTATCTGTTTATCGTATGACATACATTTTATGTTAGTTAGTATAGTGCACTAATATGTATTTACAATATACACAATGAAGTAATCATAGAGATAAATCAGTAATTCCTTGTTCATTCAAGTTAAATCATCGACCTCTAGATTATTTGTCTCAATATGATAGACAAATAGAAAATAATATTGCCGAGATTTATCTTTGCCGAGAAGATTAATATTTAACTACTATATTAAACTGAATGAATTTAAAGGAAATAATCTCGATCAACACACGTTTTAATACAATAATTGCACAATATCAGGTGTCATCCGTACTATCTTACACACTACGTAGTATTCGTACTACATATAATATCTATATCAGGAATGTTTGGGAGCTCCGTAACCGTAACCGAAACTATCGGATATCCGATATAAAAAAATATTGCGGGCGGAGCCTAATTGAGACACGTTATGTAACCATTTTATTAGCTATTTGTATTTTACTTTTGAAATTCCTTAAACAATTAATATCCGTAACCGAAATTATCCGAAACTAACTGATGGTCCGAAATAATTTAATATGCGTATCCGTATCCGGTATAATAATCATTCCTGTATCCGAAACCTATCCGTATCCGAAATTTTATATCCACAACATCCCTGATCTACATATTTAATTAATAAACGTACGAATTTGTAAAATAACTATCACAAAAATACATTTTTGATATCGAAACCTTCTTTTTTTTCACAATTGTTTAAATGCAGACTGGAAACTTTAAAACAATTGTGATTGTGCATTAGGAACGTATTAAGTAGGTACCTACACTATATTGTTTTAGCAGTAATAAGTCAACGACGTGAGACTTATTTAGTAACGTGATCACCTTGGAATCTATTGACCTGTGACGAGACAGGTTTGTGTGTATTTTAATATTAGTACTTTAGTTATACTCCTTTGTATATTTAAATTTACTGGCTATCTCTAATTATTGTCTATAAATATTGCTCTTCTCTGCAAGATTAAAAATATAAGAGGTAGACTTCTTTTATATATTTTTTATAAATATACTAAATTGTTATAACAGTTTCCGAAAAATACATACGTATAAGTATTATTTTATTTCAAGTTTTACGTTAAACCAATGTTCCTTTTTTTATGACTCAGATTTTGTATCCTGGTTGGTGCCCATATATTATTATTGTATTGGTTTATTCCTCATTCGGTACCTACATTACTTTAAAATTATGTTTTTGTTAAACTGCTATCATAGACAAAATGTGATTTCTGATATTAATATGCCGAAATAGTTACACTAGTAGTCACTTACCATCAGGTCAACCGCATCCTCTGCCTCCTGGATATGGGATAAGAAACTTTGATCATATTTTTAAAGGCGATTGACCCTTTATTTTTCTCAATAAAAACCATAATTATCTCCATCCATTATCCGGTTGTGATTCAATGTCAATTTTTCGATGTGGCTAAGGCTTTCGATAAAGTCTGGCACAACGGCTTGATTTACAAGCTTCATCAGTTAGGTGTCCCCGACAGGCTAGTACTCATTGTACGAGATTTCCTGTCGAACTTATCGCTACCGTATTTATGCACCCCATACGAGCCGGCGTCCTCAGGGCGCCGTCCTCTCTCCGATGCTCTACTCGTTGTACACCAACGACATATTATTAAAAGTCGAAATATCGCTGTTTGCCGATGACACGGCTCTCTTTACATCCGCCAAGTCCCGTGCGACAATAGCCAGACGTCTTCAGAAAGCCGTAACGATACTGGGCGAATGGTTCCGTCGGTGGCGCATAGAAGTCAATCCCGATAAAAATGCAGCAGTGTAGTTTATCAGGAAATTCGACTCTATGAATCACCCGATCGAACTATTCGGCCAAAACATTGGGTTAATATCTCGGCGTCACCCTAGATCATAACGTTTCGTCCTCACATCAAATGTGACCGAGCCGCCTTTATTCTAGGGCGATATCCTTTTATTAACAAGCACAGTAAAATGTCGCTTCGCAACAAGCTGACATTATACAAGGCTTGCATCCGTCCCATCATGACCTACGCTAGTCCCGTATTCGCCCACATACCCTACTGCTTAATCAACAGACTGCAGGTCATTCAGAATAGGTTTCTGCGTCGAGCCACCGGTGCGCCGTGGTTCGTTCGCAGCGTAGATCTCCACCGCGATCTTAATCTGCCCTCCATCAAGCAGTTTATGAAGGAAGCGTCTCGACGCTACTTCGACTCTGCCCAATCCCACCCCAATCCGCTTATAGTCAGTGCGGTCGACTACGCACCGAGAAGTAATATCCGACATACGCGACAACGTACGTTCTCATTGACCCCGACGACCCCATAACGGCAGGTAACCTCCCCACGGGCCCACCCGTTCCACCCCGACCACACTTTTACCTTTTTCTCGATCGATCCCCCGTAAAAACAAACATGAATTATCTCTAAAGTCGTATCCGTCCATTATCTTCAGCCGCTTAAGTCCTTCCGCGGGTTTGGAGTGCCATCTGCACTCTCCCCATAACGTCCGGTGAATGCCAGCTACGGCCAACAGCATTTCGTCTCGTGGGAGTGCTTCTCTCTCAATTCAATAATTGCGTTCATTCATTGTCAAACATTTTATTTCATGTTGTAGGCTCGCTTGTGATTAGTTACTTAGGACAATACGATTCGATAAGTAATTTGATTTTGTTTTGTTGTTGTGCTGCCATGCGGCGGGGGCGGTAAGCCTGTCGCCGCCGGTTCTGCGGCCCGTCTCTCTGGCGTTCCTTGGTTCGAGACTAGTCGTTCCGAACGCGATCACTCGCGCGCACGTCGCGCAGTTCCATGCAGTACGCTAGACGATAACGCGCCCCATTTAAACGCAACACTCACTTTACTTACACAATCGGCTCATTCACACTTACGATACTACGGCACAGGCCATTATTGAATTAAGACGTCGATCGTCCCAAATTGCAGGATTGGCGGGAGTGATCCCCGAACCGGCTTTTGGACCATATGATCTGCATTGTAATCGTCCGTATTGCATGGCCCTGATCTCCGATATCGGTTCGCAGCCACGATGTGGATCAAAAGTTGAAAAGTGCATTTGTCTCTTTGTCTAGACATCCGTGTTAAGATGACTCAGTGACGATACTTTCTCGTAGTGTACAACCATATTTCTGTTTTGTGAAACGATTATGTTGGAGATGTGAATGTTGACGTTGGTGTATTCATTAGTGATAAATAATAGGGTAGTGAAATGGCTGGAGCTAGTGGAGAAGGCGGTGTTGTGGAGGAGGTATCATCAGGAAATGCAGTGGAAGGACGAAAGCGTGGTCTGAGCGGGTCTATGTCCCTCCGGACGCGGAAGTTGGGCCGGCGACTGTCACGGAGCATGTCTATAGTGGCTATGAAGTTGCCAGAAAAGGCACACAGCATTACAAAAACCTCGTCTAAATTGATGAGGACAGCCAGTCGTGATAAGAAGAATCGGTCCTTTGAGCTCTCGATAATACTTCCAGACAAAACTCAAAAACAGGTACGTATCGAAATTGACATTATTGAAAATTAATAATGTAATTACCAGCTCTTAATTGAAAACTGATAGATAAGTAGTGAAGTTAGGAAAAAGTTAAGTTTTTCAATTATAACACTGATATAGTACTTAAAACGTAATATTTAAAATAAATTATGGCAAATTAATTAAAACAAAAGCGTTAAAAAATCGCGTTGTGAATGTTTTGTATTGGATGTTAACTCATGTAAACGATCACCTAAATTATACAATCAGTGCGTTCGGCTCTATTATGGGCTCTAACCACTTATCATTATACGACTACCATTGTATTCCAAAGGGAGAACTACCTACTAAGTTGTGCTTACATTAAGTATCGGCACATGTCATTCGTATGGGTTATGCATTTAAATGTGTTTGGCTCATTGCAATTTTGTGGGTAGTTTGTTTCGCCACGCTACACGATGACGCGTGTCGCCTACACTCTGGATTTCTCCATTGATTTAATAATGAGTTGCAGACAGCGTTTGCCTACACATCACCAGCATTGCTTAGGTTGCCATTGAACTGCGAAATTCTTCAATATAATTTATTGAGTAGTCACTTTTTTCTGTTGAAAGACACCAGGGGATAAAACCAAGGGATTTAATATTTTAAATATTTGGGTTTAGTTTACCTAAAAAGTATCTTTTTATACTATATACATGTATAACTATGTACCTGCGGGTTTGCCCGTATGATATAGATATAGATATAGTATGGTGTAGGCCCCCAGCAAAGAATATTGGTGTCTGATTTTTCTTTACAGAAACAGGTACAGAAAATATTATGATTTAACTTGTAGTTGTTAGCAACGAAAGAACAGAATAATGATGTTAAAGATCAAGATCACGGATTTTAATTTATTTTTTGTTAACGCTGGAGTACTTCCGTGACAAAATAGATGTTAAATCTGTTCCGTTTTATTTAATTGCTAGGTAATTATTGTTAACATTGAAAACTACTGGTTTGGAGACATTATTTAGTTTTACCGTTCCTACGTCGAACGTAAACAAACAAAATTTTATTTCTTTTAAATATTTTCATAAGCGGCCGTTCTCATGTTCCTCTCATATTACATAGCAAATATAGTTTATGTGTAAGCAATAATCACTTAGAAAATTGTTCTTAGTATTCAACGTGTAATTATAGACAGCATATTTATATATTTACCTTCATCTATAATAAAACCCTCACGTCTTTGAATTTTTTATAGGCATTTGGATTAACTGTAAACACTTTTTAGAGAATTTGTAATGAGAACGACAGTTAACCGTGTTTATTTTAATAATGTCACAAAGGATGCTGAGCCTTTGTTAACATTATCCACATAACATTACCTAGATCATTATGGGAAACAATACGTCAATTGACATAACGGTATAACATGCTTATACTAATAACTTATAATAATAAGTTGGTTTTCTGGGAAGCTATAAAATATAAAATCAAATCCAAAGAAGCGGCTGTTACACGATATAAAAATAGACCAGCAAATTTGAGAAAATATTAAAAAAAACTTGTTATGCTAAGACAGTACGTTTGTTTTTTAGCTACATTTCCACAGTTAAATTATTAGACTGGTTTTAGATAATTTAGCAAAACTATAGCCAAATTAGGAACATAAGTAAGTAAATTTAGTAAAGCAAATAAACACGGTTCGTTAGCATTATTTTATATTCCCTATTTCTGTATAAAAAGATTATTCATTATTCCTAAAAGAAAACTTTTCTAAAGTTTAAGTACCTCCCGTGTATTTTGCAAATACAGAAATGTTAGTATCTTTGCAGAAAAAGGTAAAGCGCATTTATCTAATTGTATCAATAAAGTTAATATGGCGAATGGGGACATTCCGTTTAACGACAATGAGGAAGGCTTCCCACGTGTTGCATCGGTAGGATTGATGCACTAGGGCTGCTGGTTAATTTTATGTATCATGTAGAAATATGCATCTTGCATCCAATTCATGTTATTATATTTATATGTACATAGATTTGTTGAAATTTCTTTTTAATCTACTCCAGTGATCAGTTATCTAATCCTGTACGAATATTAATACGTTTTTTATTATATATATAACTAGTAGTGACAGCAACTTCGTACGCGTTTATATGTATTTGTAAATCGCAATCTATTGATGATAATCTAACAACAACAATAAATAAAGCATTTATACAGAGCCATACAATACTTTATTAATAAATAAATTAATACATTTGTAGGTGGCATTTTAAAAAATACACAACGTTATTTCTCCTTGTGTGCTATTTGACAAAAATATTTTGTGGATATTACATCTTAATTCCTCCCATATGGGCCAATATTATTAATTGACATTGTTAACCTTTGAAGTCAGAATAATAACCTACACTACCCAAATCACGATGTAAGGAAAGTTTTCATATTTATTAATAGGTATTTCGTATTTTTTTATATGATATTGTTACCACCTCTATTTACTAGTTTATTATGAAACTTTTAATACCTCAAAAATAGCGTTGGTGATTTAATTATTAAAATACATAACAAGAGATGTAGTTATTCGTAGTTCAATATGGTAACGAAGTAGGAGAAAGTTTTATCGCAATGAAATACACGTTAAGTAGCATGTGCATATGTTGAGCTATGATGACGCACAATAAATGAAACTACAGAAATGAGTCGATTAATTAGATGTCATAATGCTACTGTGCGTTCAGAGACATTGTTACACCACCTAATGACTGTTAATCTCAGTTATTTTATATTTTGTAATTAGTTATAATAATGGTTCCATTATAGCAAGCTGCACTAATGAAATCTCTGTTTCATAAAGTTACTATCGACCCGTTCTGGTTTCACATAGATGCATTACAAATTATTGATTTTATCAGCTTGTTCTATAACACGCATGTATTATACATATAAATCTTCCTCTTGAATCACTATATCTATTGCTAAAACTGCATTAGCATTCACTGCGACCACCTGAATTTTCTTTCCAACCTATATCTTTCTAATGTTATCATACGTATTGGGCATTCAATTTTATATAGCACGTAATCAGAATTTACAATATGGAATATTGAATGAAGGAATTAATCATCTATTATGTAAGGATTATAGTAACTGTGCTTCCGACATACATATCTCTAACACCCTGTCGTATTATTATGAAGTCTGCTGTTGTTTTAATATGTTAGTTACCTATTCACGTTTCTGTAATTATTATCTGAGTTAGAATTTCATTAATTTATATTTAATAACAAGAGTGCACTGGCAATGTGTTACAATTCAGTTGGTCACGTTTTGATCAGAGATCAATTCGTATCGTTATTACATATCGTTTATTGGCGCGAAGATGAAATACTAAAAATGTGTCACGAATATTCTATTTTACATTACGTTGTCACAATAAAAAAAATCATAAATCATATGCTATCGCTATTAATCGAATTGTATGTAGTTTTTTTTTATGACAGGTAGGGTAGGGTGAACTATACGTGTGTACAATTATGTTTAAAGGCATTGTTAATTATTTTATTGCACACAATTTTTAATCTGCAATTCTATCTACACGATACTAGGACTAGTAAAGTTTGAGTAAATTTTGGTGACTTCATATTATTTACGCCATTTGATTTCACCAAACAGATTCGGAAATTCCCAATTCCAGATTACAAATCAAAACTTACAAATATTGTGTATTTTAAAACGGCAAACAAAGAATAGTGAATTTTCAATGATTAAGTTTTTTTAATATTCATATTATGTACATAAGAAAGTTTGATTATTGCCATGACATTTTACCTACAAGTGCAAAATTATCATAAAGTTGAGGTTAATACAAAGTTTACTCGTTCCACTGTGCAGACAGTAAAATTACATACAAATGTATAGTTAACGACGTTTGTACAGAAAGTAACGAATATAATATTCAAGCAGAACTAACTATATTATATATACAAAAAGTTTTGATCAATGTTTAATTGTCTTCCATGTTATTTCATCCGTAAATTTAGTTATTACAAAAATTGCGGATGAAACAACACGGTACTTTGAATGTGTATCAAGTGTATATAAAATAACTTTTTTATTCGTTACAAGACATTGCCGATTTTTTTTATTCTGTTTGCTAAAGAATATGTTTTGCAATTATCTCCAGCCATCTTTATAGTATTAGGCGTTCATTGTCACTTTTTGCGATACACGAGCCTTAGGCGAGAGCGAACCTGTATCATGCCAGTAAATTGTGTCGGTTTATTTTTAATTTTATTTAATTTTTACTATATCATATAAATGAGACGGATATATCTTACATATTTCTCTATCTGTCAATTGCTATGCGTGTAGGTACGTGAACAAGTGAAGATAATATACATATTGTGTATATTATAGTTCATAGCATAATAAAGTTATATAGTCGAGGACATCAAAAGGGGGAATCCTACGAATGTAAAACTGATTATTAAGTAGATTTCCTAAAGCACAAGTCTTATATTTTATTCTTTTTGGTGATGATACAATCAAAGATTACAGAAGATGTATTTTTACATTTTGTTTTGAATATTTGTAAACAAAATTGTTGTTGGTGCTATTGTATGACAACAATTATAAATGTTATTATTATGTATGTGTATTATTGATAGGTACATCATCTGATATAATGGATTAGATCAGACTGTAGCATTACATATAAAGTATTTATGTCTATCAATACACATCATGTGTTAAGAATTATGTAACGAAGAGTTACTTAGTGAACGCGTTGAAGATTATATATATTTATTACTAATAAATATTGTAAGGTTCTACATCAGTGTCATCAATAGAATTCACAATTTTGAATATCTTTTGTGATTCTTATATTGCTTATATTTATATCCGAAGTAGAAGAAATAGTCAAGTACAGTCTGTATACTCAATTTATTTTATATGGTTAGTTTGATCCTTTTCTACAATTTGTTTTATTAAATATCCTTTTCTTAATATAAGTTATAATTATT